GTGAAAACTGCCTCAGTTCCAGTCGTACGCACTTATAACAGAAGATACAGAAGATAAAGCTCATTGAATATTAGCTTTATCTGTCATTGTTCAAACTATAGGATGCTTGGTCCGCGGGTCAAAAATGTACCTTCTGCATCAGAAAGAACAACTGATTAAAAGAAAGGACAGAAAAAGGAAAATGCTGCGCTGTGAACCCACCGCTAAGCTCCTATCTGTAATCTTACGCTGTGTCCTCTAAGCTAATAAAAAGTACTGTTTCCCCAATTGCAGTGTCGGAGAAAAACTCTGGCTGGAGCCCTGATTGTGTCTCTCATATGCATTGAACAAGTCCATTCCTGTCCCTGTACCTCTCTAGAAACCAAACTAATATATTAGGCCCTATAGCCGTGGAATAAAACAGGAGAGAGTGAAACAAGAGGCAATGAGATGAAGAGGATCTACAGTACAGACTCAGCGCTTAAAGATTCCCTCGCTTCTCATTAACTGGGTCTGACATGAACAAGGACAGCGGGAGAAGGAGCTTTTCTCCCCGATGTGTTGTTTGCTACACTTTCCTGGCCAGTTCACATTCTCTGGGGGCTGCAAAGTGGCTAATGTGGAGCAATTACTATGTGACCGAGGCTAAAAATTGCATCCTTCATGGTCATTGTATTTCTCACAACAACCACAACACAATGATATACTGTAGTCACGGAGGATAAAGGACAGGAAGACCAAATGCACTACTTTTCCCTTTAGGAATGCAATATCAGTTACACAACAGTGGAGGCTGGTTATTGATCCCGCTGTGATCCCAGAGAACAGAGCCTATATAATAAGTTCTCTGCAATATGTCAGTGCATCCACACAAGGCAGGAGACAGGCAACATCAACAACTCTCTCACTCGCTCTCTAAGCTTATAGTGCATTAAGCTCTGGAGCGTGCATTATGATTTTATGCATACAAATTGATCATCTTCAGGGCTATAAATGGAAAAAAAAAAGTTTACATTTTTCACTGAGCATAGATGGGGATTTAGAAGTTGGTTGGCTACAGGCAAAGATGCATTATGGCTGATATGATTATGCCATCAAAAAATGAGAATCTAGGGCGAGTGAATCACCCCTGGCAAAAAGAGGCTTTATCAAAACTCTGGGACCGGGACTTCTTAAAGCCTACTGGCTCTGGATACATTACCTACACAGCGGTTATAGGAGGATGCCGTAACCTGAAGGGGTCTCAAGGTCACGGAGGACCTGGATGGATAAAACAAATGTACTAATCACATAAAATAAACATCTATTCAAATGAATGAAGCACTAACTGCAGTGTTTACCTTCGTACCACAGCACCAGAAGCCACTTTGCTGAAATGGCATTTCTAAGGTAAAATGATAATGATAATCAATATGAAGTGTTATCGCAGTAAGGAGCCAGCCACTTAGTTGTATAGTTGGCCTGATGGCCTGCTTAATTATATCATAAAATGTCTTCCCCACCAAGAGCTGCTTTGCCAGAGTAATCCTTCAGTTGTGAGTTTGATCAATCAGCTGAGGTTAATAAAGCTCCAACGCTGCAAGCAGCAAGGTCACCCCACACAGTGGTCATTCTTCCCACTAGCTAATGCATCTAATGTGAAGCAAACGTCCGGCTATGTACTTATTCTGTAGGGGGAGATGCAGAAGAAGGGGATATATCTGGGGGGAGGGAATGGAATGAGAAAGAGTGAGACAGCTAAAGAGATGCAGAGAGATTGGTGTCACGTTTGGGGTCATTAGGCACAACACACTGCTTTCATTATATCAAACCGCATAACATTCATCAGCTCCTTCACTAATGGAGCGGTGCCTCATTCTGTCTGCTGCTGTTAAAAACAGCTCTTCTTTGGAGGAGTTCAGCGGGATGTTTTCCCCTCTCAACACTGCTGTATTTAAAGCAACCTGTGTGACACTGAACCTGACTAAATCCGTCCAAAGCAAAGCTGAGGTATTCTACTCACTTATGAGGGAGCGAGAGCGAGAGAGCAGTGCAGATCCCTGCTTAATACATTTATCTCATGCATTTTGCAGACTGTAAAGTGCACATATTAATGCCAAGCATCAAGGAGGGAGCTAATACAAGTATACATGGATGAAAATGGGCCCTTAAAATGGCCCTACTGCCATAGAAAAGACCTCCTGGATCAGAACATGGGCAAAAAAGATCTTGGATCAACTTTACCAAACTGCAAAGTTCCATCTATTGTTTAAAGGGAAACATATTGTTTAGAGTTAGGAAGCTGTAGCACAAGTAAAGAATAAGATCACTGTAAAATGTGAATGTCCATGCAAGTGGCTCCTAAACATTAATTACTGAAGTATTTTGGACACGGTCCTGATGACAGGAACTATTTAGTTTTCATCTCCACACCATCTCAATAAGCCCCAAGTTCCAATAGTCCACAAAATAAACATTCAACCTGAAGATAAAATGCAGAAGTAAAAATGGCAGAGAAAAGGCAGAGAAAAACGCAAATCTTCTTGGAAATATATTCAGGGATGCAGAATTTTGGTCTACAACTTGCAACTCTTTTTCCATGCTAAGAATCTCAACATATAACACATGTCCTAAATCCCTAAACGACTATGCCGGCTGATTGGCAACCACAAATTACACGACCTGATTTCCGTAACACAGAATCTTATCAACGATGGTCTCAAAGGGAACACAAACTAATTGGTGCGACGTTTACGTTGCGTTTTCTAATGATGGGCGCTTAATTAATCTTTGCAACGGCGGCTAGTGAGTGTGGGAGTTAAAGAAGAAGATGTCTGAGAGGATCAAAGTCATTCCAGTGTACTGGGGGGGGGGATTAGGAAAATGTGGTGGAGACAATTCAGCATCCAAGCCTCCAGTGAGAAAAATCCTTTCAGACTGGGATCAAAATCTCAACTGGAGAAATCATCCCGACTTGCAGCGGCGCTAGCCGAGTTTCTGACTGACACGTGTGAGGGCGGTTATGTGATATCATGGTAATCCCACTGAAGTCCCCAAACACAATCCTTCTACCTCATGGCCAATGCAAGGAAATATACAGCGAAAAACCTGCAGTCCAACCTTTAATACTTCAAAACTAGGAAATGTCTTTGTTATTGTCGGAGATAAATAGTCTCTGGCATATTGTTGGTTACTTTTCTGAGGTTGGTGTTCATGCCTTCACTGTCAAACGTAATGTTTTCCCCAAAAAAGAGCAACAAATAGAAGGAAGCAAAGCTTAGAATTGACTGCAATTCAACACAAAGCAAGTGGTGCTGATGCAGGGACAGGCAGGTTCTAGACACCAGAAAAGGAAATATATTGTCCTACTTTCTGTATTATGTTTATGTTTATTAGCTGGTATTATACTTTTGGGTTGAGGTACACTTTCAAAAAAACTAAATGTGTTCATTAGTGGCATCTTTGTGGCCCTGTTCATTCATTGAATGATTCCAGATATACGGTAGTGAGGCAGCAGCATGTGACTGTAAATGTTTCAGCTGAAGCTTGTGCACATTTCACTTGTTTGTTCCTAAGACTGTTTGACCCTGCAGTCAAAGTGCGTCGGTCTCCATTGGTAATAATATGGCCAGTGTAATAAGAGTTTTCACTGTTACAAAGCAGCCATGCATTGATTTTTCTGGGGGAATTCATTACGTCTCCTGCAGATGTAATACTTCCACAACTAGTGGACTGAAACACAATCGCTCAACAGCTTTGATGGTACAGTTTCATTTTGTTGAGTATCTCAAACGTATCAAGTTTTAAATTTGACCCTCATTTATTGGGGGTCAGGTGTCTAAAATGTTTAGTGGTTTGGTTATTAAGGGTTTGGCACCAGTAAACTCTTATTTGACAGTAGATGTTTGCCTTCTGTGTGTACAACCACAGGTTTAGAAGTCCTCCTCTTTACCTCCAGTATCGCTTCTAAACAAGATGTCTAATTTTACAAAAAAAACTCCCTTTGCTGACTCTCAAAAAAAGAAAGAGGAGGCACCGCTGGGTGCATCAGTCTGCTCTTACAGTCGCCAGCTCAAGTTACCTCGACCAAGTGTGGAAAGGGACGCACATCGGCCGACAGCACTGCTCCACTGCATCACTCTGCAGCAGTGCTCGCAGGGAGCCGAGGCGGTCTGCACCTCACACACGGAAACAGACCCGGCCCGGCAGCTGAGGCTCTCTCCACACGGGCTTAATACTCTGTTAGGCTCCAAAAATAACCTTGCTTGCAATTCTTACAGCAGGACAACTCTGATGTCTTCTATTCTGATACATTATCAGGGTCATGGTGAGTAAACAGAGAGAGTTTGTTATGCTGTTAAGGTACAACATACAAAAGCGGTATAAAACAAACACACAGCAGCACTAACGTTAAAAGTGATGGCAATATCAATAAATAAAAAGCATGCACCTGCTCCATCCAATAGCATGGCAACTGACAGGGAGGCAAAAACGTGGAAATAGCTGGATGACATCATGAAGTTCAAAAACATGTGGTTACCTGGCAGATCTCATAGTATAGACCTAAACACAATAGAATATGCATAAACCAAAAATAAAAAGAGCCATCAGCCAATAGGATTCTGAAAGCAGGCAATAAAAGGTGCAATGGGAAAACAATTATAGCAGAAATGACTACAAGTAGCCTGGGCGAACAATATGGGAATATGTCTGACAGTCATGACAGGAGGAAACCGAGAATAAGGTCAAAACCAGACACTCGGATGTGACAACGTGAAGCCATTTTCCGGGATGGACGATATAATATTCAAAAAGCCTCCTCCACACAGACACGCGATACAGGTCAAACCGGCAATTTACAGGCCGGTGGTCTCATAAAAGTGGTACTTTTGGGACGCCCTCGTGGAGACAAAAGAACGGTGCCGCGAGGTGCGCGCCGGTGCGGTACTCGTCTCGCTCCCCAGCATCACGTCCACCTGTCCTCTCTCCCTTTTATGCGCTTCCCTAAAACCGCATCGTGCACCCGCAACACTCCCACCTACCCAGTACACCGGAGGAGCCATGTGACGGGGCAGTGCCCGGCTCCGGCCTCTCCGCTTCCCCCTGCGGCGCTCGGTGTCGGTGCCGGGAGCTCTCGGCGCCGTCACCGTTGCCAGACGCACCGGCGGCGGCCGAGGCGCCCGTCGCTGCCGACCCGGTGTCGGGCATGCTCTCTATCAGCGAGGAGCCACGGAAGATGAAGGTATTCTCCGGGGAATTGTGCAATAGTATCGCATCTCAGGAGGAGGGCAACGCACGGGTGAAGTGCAGCGACCGGGGCGGGTTCAATGCGCGTGAAAGTGAAGTGAAGGTTGTCGGCGCGGCGGCGGATCCTGTTGGTGCTCCGGAGCAGGATGCGCGGCTAGATGGAGAGCTCTCCTCCTCCGACGAGTATGGAGGAGGGACAAAGAGAGGGAGGACGCAGGGGGAGGGGGGGCTGGGTGGCGCACGCACACACACACACACACACACACACACACACACACACGCTCACCAGAGCAGCCCCATGACAATACGAGTATCGTCCTCGTTGTCTCAGGAGGGGGATTTTAAAAGATATTCGGTCGTGATGAATTGAAATGTGTAGTCAGGTTATGTAGGTTGTTGTTTTTTCACACATGCATGTCCCTGCAGTTCTCCAGTAGACATTTATAGTTATTGTCCTACAGTGACCTCTGCCTTCCAGCAATTGGTTCCAAATATAGAATGTGACTTTTTCATTAATGATAAGAAATTGCGTGCTATATATTAATAATGTTTATGTGATAATGCAAAGGCCGTTGAGTTGTCATGTTGTTTTAGAAATTGTACCTAAACGCAATAATCCTGTTCGTAGCAGGTTTTATCAGGCAGGTGGTGAAAGTCCAGAAGGTCGCAGTCTGAGAGTACAGTGTAACCTGTCCTGTAATAGTTCATACATGTATAAAATATTTTTATAGATTACATTTTACACTGTCTCTCCACCTCAGTCCACTAAATACTCTCCATCATTTCCTCCCTCATATACATTTTGTTTAAGCAAATTTGGTTGTCATGTGTGTTCACGTTTGCCTTCTGATGGGCAAACAATAGTCACGCTATGTCAAAGCGAGCCTACGCCTGAGCACATCCTTCAAAACAAACACGGATGTTTGTTCATGAGCAGTTTTTCCTAAAGATGTTTACGTGTTCCTAAAAAAGAAAATTCCACTTTTTCGTCTTTAAGGTCAGAATGCTCGCGCGTTGACGGTGCTCAACAGCTGTGAGGTGGCAGTCGTCACACTTTGTGCACACAGCCTATAAATTATTTTGACCTCAGGTTAAAGCTCAGGGGGCCTCGGGCCTTGTCTTGTCAGCATGTATAGCCAACCTACCTGGATTGGCCAGTCCCCCTGAATACCATGTTTCAATGTACAGAAAGAAAGCAGGCAGCCCTTCCCCTTATGAGGCTCACTGCTCATAAGTAGCTAGACTTTCAGCATAAATTCTGCATAAATTCTTTACTCACCACCTCAACAGCTGCAAAGAGCTGCAGTGGAACACACTGTACATACATACAAACACAGACACACGTGTGCACACATACTTTTTACTCAGTTATTATATTTGGGATATGAACCATGAAAGACAATTGCCAAAAATTACCACCAATGACATACAATATGCGTTACACTATATGCAGTTTATCAGTTAAACAGAACTAAAGTTTAACAGCACTTCAATAAATATAATTCATACATTCTGTGAGGAGACGCCGTGGTTCAATATCATTTTAGAGACTGGTGCTGTTGAATTTTTATTTTTCGGATGTTTTCTAATATTCTCCGTGAAAATTTAAATAACTTCACTTTCATTATTTTATATCGTCAGAAACACTGAAAATGGTAACAAATCAAATTAAATAGTAACCATTTTATGAAAGAAACATATTGCGGTATATACTGGATAGTTTGTATTTAAGAACACATATCTTTATCATGCCTTAATCTTTTTCCACATAAAATTGGTTTAAATATATTTTTCATTCTTTAGAAAGCCACCCTATCTATCTATCTATCTATCTATCTATCTATCTATCTATCTATCTATCTATCTATCTATCTGTCTGTCATCTCTCTTCCCCCAGAAAAAGACATTATCTGTCAAAGGTTTCCTCATTTCATTTTTGAAGTATTTGATAACCAAATGAACAGTTCTTTAACTATGTTGAGGAACAATTCCCTTTTTGTGATCCAAATGGATTTACATTGAAAATTCCAGTTAACAGCAAAGGGGAAGTTGTAAATCTTTCCAGAGCATTGTTGTAACCAAAAAACACACATGTCTCCTCTAGGGCAAAGAAGGGGGTGGTTTTAGTTTAAAAACAAATTTAATAATTACACAAATGCTTAAAATGTAAAATGATGATAGATAGATAGATAGATAGATAGATAGATAGATAGATAGATAGATAGATAGATAGATAGACGGACAGACAGACGGACAGACAGTCGGATAAATAGATCGTCAACAGCGGTAGGTACACGGACTGAATTAAAGGGCGCACAAAGGGCGGGACTTATCACAGATTGACAGGTCTTGAACCAATTAGATTTTAAAATACTCGACGCTGTAGAAAGTGCCGTCCAATTACAATCGAGGAAGGGAGCAACAGACATTTTGGTAACCTAAGTACAGACGATTGTCGCATTTGAATGTTGTTAAGCTTCAACAGAAAATAAATACGGCTTAATAAATGTGTCCGCCGGTCGGGTAACGTTCACTCCGACGTTAGTGTACACAGCAGTGAGGTAAACACAATGATTTTTTCAAAGACAAACGTCGGTGTCACTCTTACCAGGAAGCGCACATGAAGTGTTTAGAGTGTCAGAATCATACGATCATGCTGCCGTCAGTGTTCTGTGGGATGAGGAGAGCTGCTGTCCACAATCTGAGGCCAAGGTTTGTTAAATTAACTTACTCCGCAACTTCTGTGTGTTGGCCTCTAACTAATGCAATTAGCCACTGCTAATTCAAAACCACCACTCTGTAACCTTGTATTTCACTTACCTTGTAAGTTATGAACATTCGATAGAAAGATTTAATGTTTTACACTTTTCGTGAAGCCCCCAAGACACTAAATGTGGCAATGCAATATTCCCAATATTTGCCTGACAGAAAATGTAGTTGAAGACATCAATACTGAAAAAAATGTAAAACTTTATAGTTTTCCTTTAACCTTATACCTGCAAGTTATAAATAGGAATATGTTTGTATTTTTTTTTGCCACTTACTTAAATACATAAAAACCACACTTGTGCTCCAGAATAATTACTATAAGTCTGTGCTAATTTGTAAAACAATGTCTGTTGCATTGTTTGGCCAACGATGAATAAAAGCATATTTGATTATTAGACCACTGTGAGATTAGTGAGGAGCTACGGGTTTCTTACCATTCACTTATCTCTCCTGCAGAAGAACTCCAGCTTGCAGATTAGTGTCCACCTGTGGCGGAGTCCCTGTTGCACTGGCCGACGCTGAGAGCATTTTTGCATTATCGTCGGGCCATGGCAGGTGTGGAGTGGCTGTGGTGCGAGCCAGTGGTCCCGCCTCAGCCACGGCTCTGAGGTGTATGACCGGGCTCCGTTGCAACCTGCCCCCTCCACGCAAGGCCCTGTTACGCAGCATCACAGACCCTCGATCCAAAGAAGTGCTGGACCGTGGACTTGTCCTCTGGTTCCCAGGTCTGTTCCCTTTGACTGCAGTCAAAAATAGTGCAACTGCAAATGTAAAGCAAAGCGCACGCAACCCCTCCCCAGCTTTCCCCTCAACGTGTTTCTTGAACACCTATTCGCTATGGCTCCCAAAAAGACTCCCAGACAAGTCCAGATATTTAGCACGCTAGATTTCTGGACTACTTCGGCGAGGCCCCAACGGAACTCTCGGTTTGCGTCTTTGGTCAGTTCTCACATTGATTGGCTCTAATGGCAGCTTGAATAAGGGCTGCGTCCTGTTGTGTGAATTAACCATTAAGTTTCAATTCCTGCATAGCACGCTTTTAAATGTGTTTTTCTCTTGCTGCAATTTGGAATCATTAACTGTATCTTGACGTATTAGTATTTTGTCTATTAAATGACACAATGATATTGTGTTGTTGTGTTTCATGTATTCATATTCTTAGCGCCCCACAGTTTCACAGGAGAGGACAGTGTGGAGTTCCACATCCACGGCGGTCCGGCTGTCATCACTGCTGTCCTACACGCGCTAGGTAACCACATGTCATGTGATGCACCATCACTTTGCTGTATGTTCGGTTAGTGTGTGTCCGCAGCTTTGACTTCAAAGCTGTAAGCCTGCAACACAGTAACTATTTGAGTCGTGTGGCTTCCCATCAATCTGACTTAAAATATTCCTACTTCTAAGATACTTATATAATGTGCCTTGGCAGGCGTAGCAATCCTTGTGGGAATGACAATATTATCTGCAATACTCTCACTGGTCTTGTAGGGGGCAGTATTGTATCAGAGTAAATGTTAATAAAAGCTTGTTGTTAATAATGTAAAAAAGAGGAAAATGTAAGTGTTGACCTGCTTTTTTCAGAAACAGATAATAGTGTTGTTAAGATAAAGGTGAATAGTTTCCTCTAGTTCCACATCATGACCTACATTTACCAAATAATGGATGTTTCATTCAGTGTCTCCTACTGAAGTGAATTAAAATGTATGAAAAGGTTGCCTCTTTAACCTTGACTTGTGCCTGTTTTCATTCCAAGTGAACCCTGAATGACACATTGACCCTACATTCAATCCTCCCCTGTTTGTGTGAGTGAGTTGTGTGATTCATGCCCAACTTGGGTCTCATTCATTTCTCCACGTTCTGTGTGCGTTCTGTGTGTTTCTCAGGAAGCGTGCCTGGCATGAGGCCTGCTGAAGCTGGAGAGTTCACACGGAGGGCCTTCCAAGCGGGGAAGCTGGGTTTAACGGAGGTAGTTCAACACGAGAATTTCAAAACACATTGAGACAGATATGCGCAGATTAAACCTCAAGAGCCTTTTACTGCGTAAGTGGCAAATGGAAAACGTCGGAAATGAACAGGGACTTCCAGTTCATGAAGTCAACAGTGAAATATGTCTCCTTACATATGTTGCCCTTTGGAGCCTTCTTTTATTGATCTGTCAAATGTAAATTTGCGGCTAAAGCTACCGGGCTCTGGTAGATGTTGATTTTCTTTAAAAAGCTGCCAAACATGCGTTCTTCCATTATTGAAAATGTTTATTCTTGATATACTGTTTACAGTCTGTTATGATTGAATACATTTTCCGCGAGTATTTATTCAATGATTGAAAATGTAAATGCTTTGGTGCCAGAAATGGATAAATATGACATGTGCAGCGGTGATAAGTTGTGAATGGCCCTGCAGGTGGAGGGGCTGGGGGATCTGATCCATGCTGAGACGGAGGCTCAGAGGAGACAGGCGCTCAGGCAGATGTCGGGAGAGCTGGGACGCCTTTATCGGGACTGGACCCACAAAGTGAAACGGGTAGGTCCGTCGCTTCCACAGCTGTTTCAAGCACAAGCAGGGTGATGCAAAAAGAGATGATTCCGGAGTCATCTTTCCTCTGCACTATAAACAATTAACTGAATTTATCTTTAACTTCCAGTTTCTACACAAAGATCGGTGGATTTGGTATCAGTGTAATCAGATGTTTTATTTGTTGTGCTTTTCTTGATCTCAACACCACCAACAACCCAACCACACCTAGTTTTTAAAGTGACCAGTGCACAGAGGGCCTTTAGCAATTTAATTTATTTGGTCTCATTCTGATTGAGCATGACGGCAAAAACAAGCCGACCTGCCGGAGTTAATGTTGTTTCTCTGAAAACCGTGTTTTGGAAAAAGTATGTCTGTCCTGTGCGACAATGCTCTTGTTTTTTCTATCACCACAGCTGCTTTTTCAACCCCCCATTGTGGATTAACTAATAGGAACCTGAGACTTCCTGTTTTTATGTTGCTTTGGCACATGTAGCACAATACCTACTCTGTATGGTAAATGTATAAATAATGTTTTTATGGGACCAGAATTGGAAAAAACATGAAACAACAAGAAATGGGTTTCATTCTACTTCAGATCAAAATATCATTCTGTGAAGTACAATACTCTAATCACTCAAATGAATATTTTGAATTACTTGGGAAGGTCCCTTCCAGGGAATATTAATAATTGTTTATTTCACAATAGATGAGAAGAGGTTTTTTTGACAACAATACATTATGATTCGCAAAACTTCTGCTCAACAGACGGGTCACATTTGCTAATTTGTTAAGACCCTACATCTGATGCTGTTTCTATTACTATTATTTTATGAGTGGAATGGCTCTGTGACAACAGCATCTTCTTTATTCAGAGGACCTTGTAATACAGATGTGTAATCCGGAGACCTCTTTGAGTTGTTAATTCTGACATTATGAGTAATGTTCTCTATTTTTAATTATTGCCATTCTCCGCACACAAAGTTTTTGTAAAGCTGTGGTGTTGTTCCAGCTTCACTCCAATTTGTTGTTTTCTTATCTCACATGGAGCACATGTGGCTTTGTGTTGTTTTGGATGGATTAAAGATGAATTATACCACCCGCAGCTGCTACATGACCTAAAACAGCCACACAATCAACACATGGATTTATTCTGAGCACCAGAATTGTTGCTCTTATCTAAACCATATTTGGAACTATATACTAAATAATACAGATAAGAGTAGCGTAACAAAGGAAGAATGAATGAAACTGTGAAATTCACATCAGGGGTGAGTGACCTCGCTGATTAAAAGCTACATTTAGCTTATTTCATATTATGTCAACAGGATACACTGTTACAGGAGTTCAGTACGCGTATAAATCAGTCTCTTCTTCTGCCTTGTGCTTTGATAATCATGGGAGTATCTGTAGAGCAGACCTGTCAGCGCCCACGCACAGCTGTATTTTCCATTTGTTGAAGTAAATCTAGTATGGTGATACGGTCGCTTTGGTTAGGAAAGCAAAACGGTCAGTGGCTGCAAACCTTTGAACTGAGCCGATACTAACTTTAACCAATAAAATGAATGTGACACCCGCCTCTGTGGTCCACGCATCACGTTAAACCAACTGTCCATTTTTTAGCTTTCTGGTCTCAGCCCGCTCTGTATCTTGTGTGAAGTATTTGGGACACCTGACTTGTAGTACACTGTTTAACGTTCATTTATACACCTTCCAAATAAGCTTATTCCATGAGTAGCTTGTTCTTGACGATGTTGTTTGAATCCAAAAAATGTAAACAGCAGGTCATTGACCGCAGATGAACAATTCAACTTAATGGGTGCAGGCCAAACCCTCTACTGTGAATTGTTTAGAAGAATATAGCCAATTGGCAACAGATCTGACAGCAGGTCCAGGTGATCTCCCCTGAGAAACTGTTCAGCTGCTCCTCTGAAACTCTTTTAAGGAGAGTTCCTAGAACCCGTTAAACTACACCTCTACTTTGCAATCACATTCTTTGGAAACACTACAATCAGAAGTATACCATCTGCTTGATGCAAGGGGTCAAACCCTTATTTGACATTAAAACAATAATGTTTTTCTGACCGTTGACTTCCCACTTTTGTGTATGTAAGAATGGGAATCTGACGCTTCCTGTTTTTGTGCACCCTTAATAGTATTGAGTTAATGTACCGCTTTTCAGTCAAGATACAGATTGGTGCTGCTCTGGAAATACTGACCCGATGTGCAACTAGTTCTTTAATTGTTCCGTTAGTGTCTGATGGTTTTGTACATGTGCTGCATTGACGTATGGCTGAACACTTAATCAAATCTTTGCATAATAGTAATATGGGCGAAGAAGCAGCTGCAGCGCCCACAAGATAAACTTAACATTGGCTCCCTGTTTACCGTTAACCATTAAGATAATTAGCTTAACTATTGGCCCTCAACTGCTGATTCTTCTGTTTTCAGTGGAACCAAGTTGTTGATTTCCAACACTGATTTCAGCCTCTTCCCTTCTGCGCAGTGTCTGGCTCATGTTGAGGCCTTCATAGACTTCAGTGAGGATGAGCTCATTGAGGACGGGGTCTTGGACAAAGGTTAGTGTACACTTTGTCGCCCTCATCCCTCGGCTTTCTCAGGGGTCTGTTTGGTGCACTGTATGGAAACGCGTAGAACCCAAACTGCCTAAATGACTGTTTCCTTTTAGGAAGTACGTAGATAACGCCAGGGGGACAGCAGAGGCGTTTGTCCTCGCTTCAAAGCCAACCTGACAGGCCAGTCCTCCAGGAACAGTGCTGTCAGCAGTAACGTACTGTGCTCAGCGTGCACGTGCGGGCGAACGCATGCTGTGTGCTTGAACAATTAAGTTTGGGCGTCGGTGTATGCGTGCTGTATGCCGGCTGCGAGCGCGGGTGGGGAAGTGTGTGTCCCCCACCCCCGTCCAGGTCCGTCTTCTGCCACTTATCAAAGCTCGTTAGAAGGTTGTTGAGGAGTTTTGACACAATGAAGCCTGTTGAAAGAATGTTTGTTTCGGTGTCACAGAACGTGGACAAATCAAATAATAAAAGACTATGAACCTGGCGTATGTCCTTTACCATCGGAGGATACACCGCAAATTACATATTTTATATGAAGTTCTAGTCACATTCAGATTTTTTTTTTTTTTTTTCGCAACGCCGTGAATGTGAAGTTGTGTTCGTCAGTTCCCTCCTCCGTTTGTCTTTGTCTCCTTCCCAACTCCCACAGTGGACAAATGGGTGCGCGATCTGCAAGCAGAGATGGAGCGTCACCTACAGGATGAGAGGAGGGGCGAGCGGCTGCGCAGCGGAGTGCAGGTTGTCATCGCAGGAGCCACCAATGCGGGGAAAAGTAGCCTGCTTAACACACTCTGTAAGAGGACCACAAAACCAGCACATGCACCCAGCGTGATAAACACAGAGTGACTTCCTATCCTCTAGATACAGACCAAACTGGGCAATCATTCCGCTGCCAGCCATGGTTTTATCTATCATCCTATAAGCAGCATGGACGTGCAAAGTTTTGAGAAAAGTGTTATAAGTCTATACAAACATATGATGTGTTCCGTGCCCAGAAAGCAGGAAAAATTGTTTTCTTTGACCAGACGGGATCTTCTGCTGCATGACTTTTTATATGAAGTTGCTTTACTTCAACAACAAGGGTTTAGTTTCAAAACAACAGATTTACAAGTTCTTGTTCTTTCGTCAGAGGTCCGTGGATGTTTTTCCCAAAACTAGCGAAAGATTTAAAGAATCGTACAAAAGTTGTCTGTACAAGGTCCAATCATAGCTGTGCTGGAGCTTCATATTTGAGTTTGACAAGTGGAATTTGTGCTTTTCTGAGCACTTGTGCTACTAAACTACAAAAGAATGTGTGGTCAGGCACCATTTTTAACAGTCGATCCTGCTCTTGGCTCACATGAATTACAATAGTCCGACTTTTCCAGACACAGATTTAATCGCTTACAATTCACGTTCTGGCCGTGCACCAGACAATTCATTAACATTTTTTAATATATGTATACTGTATATAGATGTAAACCGTATAAATCGTTGCTTTTAAATGAATTATTCCCTTGTCTATCCGCACCAGATGGCAACTTAATGAATCCCTTTTTTATGCACTAAGGTTATGTTTGTTTACAATATGGTATCCTTAATCATTAAAAATCACTCTATATAAGCTATCCTTCTAAAGAGGGGGCTTGGCAGGATCTCCTCACAGCTTCCTATCAGAAGAATAGACATATTTATCAAACTTCCGATACAATCAAGTTATCATTTCCTCTTTTGATTAGTCTTCCCTGGGGCCTTGGCTCACACCCAGCGAGCATAGACAATTATTCAGGAGTTGGCAGTGCTTTTTTACCACGGGATACATGGCAGTGGTCTGCCAAGTTCTTGAAAAGATGATATAAAATGGTGACAAAACCTCTTCTGTTTTGTTTGCGTGATGCAGAACTTACGTAAGTATAGATTTGTCTATATGAGGCTGATAAATAATGTCTATTTCTTTACGCAGGCCAGAGGCCTGCGGCCATTGTGTCTCCCATTGCTGGCACCACCAGGGACGTAGTAGAGACGGCGCTGGACATCGGTGGATTCCCGGTCCTGTTGAGTGACACAGCCGGCCTCAGAGAGAGCCTGGACCTGGTGGAGAGAGAGGGCGTCCGCCGCGCCCGCCAGAGGTTGGCGGAGAAAACACTTGTGATTAATAATATTCTTTAATATATTTAAGTTATCAAGTTTTCCTATGTTGTAAAAATTCCCAGAATATTGAGAAAATGGTAATCAGAATGTTTTCCGCTATAAGTGACGTCTTGTGTCTCGTGTAGATCAGCACTTCTTCACTTGAGTGTAACATAACATGTGTCCTTGAAAACAAAGAAAGGAAGAAATAAGTCATCGCTTTCCCCGGTAAATCAGTTATACTTTTGTAATGTCTATCTAACGTCCAGAGTTTATGTTATTGCTGAGCCGTAGTTATAAATACATGGCAATAACACTGTGAGGAGGTTGCGTAATGACGATACTTCTTTCCGTGTTGTAGACTATTTACCATTAAGAGCTTCTTCATGTGAGGTGTACAGAATTAACATGTATGACAATCCACTGACAGCTGCTTCCACTATTTGCACTAGGATGAAGAATGACAGCACTTTATCATGTACAAACAGACAGAAACTGACTCTCCATCAGACATATGGGCACGCTAGCACATACATACAGTGTGTCAAATCAGCTGTTGGTGGTTTGTGACAGGATTTGGTGTTAGAGAGACGAGGAGGAAAAAGGGAGGTTACACAAAGGTTACGTTTCTAGTCTTGGTCCTGCTACTAACACTTTATTTACATATTGATTTAACCAATACAGTGAGTCTTTGACACAACTGGAAATTGGCCATAAGATCTACAGAATGTATGGACTTCAGCAACTATTCAGTATAAATAATGAACATTTTCATTCCAAGAAAGACACGTGTCTATTGTTTGCTTGTGTCCTTGGCAGGCGGATGAAGCAGCAGACACATCTATTAGATATTACATCGCTAAATCTGACCAAGACCTTCTCATTCTAAGAGAGTAATATTGGAAACGTAATTCATGAAGTAAATGTATTCACAAAATGTAAATCCAAAGATTACTTGTCCACAGACTCATACCACAGAAAATGAGTCCCTAAACATTTCATGTGAAAAAAAAAAAACTATTTTCAGAGCAGAGATTCTGTATTTCCTTCATTGTTTGTTTAAGTTATTTGGGCGACCTGGTGACCCTATAGGAAGGGTGGGCAGTTTGTATTCTAGGGGGAACTTCTTTGTGCAGGGAGCAGGTCAGAGGCTTGTGACCTGGGTCACTACAGGAAGGACGTGGTGAGTACAAGCATCCGCTGCTGCTGCTGCTGCTGCTGCTAACTGCCCAGTGGCACCAAGTTAAAGGAGTGCTTGAAGTGACACCATTCGGATTAGTTCATTCTATATATCAATGGCATTATTAGGGGGCTTAGCAGGGTCTCCTCACGGCTTCCTATCACAGGAATAGACATATTTATCAACAAGATGTGGGAAACATTCCTCAGATTTTTGACCATATTGACATGACGAGTTTACCGTTTGAGACGATATGAGCTTTGTGACATGTGCATTATCCTGCTGGCGGTAGCCATCAAAAGGTGGTCTGTGGTCATAAAGGGAGGGAAATGGTCAGCAACAATACTCAGGTAGGCTGCGGCATTTAAACAATGCTTCGTCCATCCCTTTATGACCCCGGTGTATCCATCGGTACAAACTATACATCACAAAATGCTGTTGATCGAGAGTTGAGGCTATTCCCCTTTTCCAGAGTGGAGCAGGCAGATCTGACCTTGGTGGTTGTGGACTGTACTCATCTACCTTCTGATGCAAAACAAATTGCAACCTTCCTACAAGGGCACCTCAGCAGTGTCCTGCCCGCTCAGGAGCAGCCGGAGACTGGTAAGATATCTTGGCCTCACATGCTCCACCTGCACTGTCGGTGATGTTTCGAACCATATTTTGAAGTGGATTTCTAGCAGAGTGAAGTGCATATGGGATGTCCAGACTCTGCCAAAGTTAAAAATGCTCCCATTAATCAGACCTCTGTTCTTTGCTTGTAAGTATTAGATTTATTTTGACACCAATTACTCACTTATAGCCTCATCATGTATTATTAAATGGTGTTAGTGTAATTTGACATCTGCTTAATTTGGCTTGAAAGACTTTTTTTAGGTGCTGGAGACCATTCGTGTAGACATCTCTGTGTCGGAAGACGTAATTGTTGATCAACGTGTTTTCTTAATTCCTTTTTTCCCCCAGTATTCCCTGAGGACAGGTTTCTTTTGGTGCTTAATAAAACAGACCTGTTGCCTGAGGGAAAAAGGCTGAAGCTGGACAGCGAGCTGAGCTCGGTGTCGGGACTCCCTCCTGTATGTCAGATTTCTTGCAACACTAACGAGGGACTTGAGGACTTCCTCGCGGCGCTTCACAACAGTGTCAAGACTCTGTGAGTTTTAAACTGTTATAAAAAGCAATAGTATAGCACTTATTAATTAGTTTAAAAAAAGTATAGTATGTAAAAAAAAAGGACATAGGTGATGTGACAGAATTCTGTCAGTCCTAAAAAATAATAAAGGTCTAAATAAGTCATGATAAAGCCAAATTATCGTGTCAAAAAACTTGCAGTGTTTTGTGAAATAAATAAAAACGGTCATATAGTCAGTTGTAAAAATAGCATTTTAATCTATATATCCAATATTTCATTAAAGACGTTATAGTATATTACGTATATGTGTATGTTAAGTAATAAAGAAGCCCTTAAGTGAACGTATAGTATGTCATACAGGTCATAGTAGCGATAAGATGTCATAAAGTGGTCTCATAAAGGGCAATACTGGCGAAAGAAACAATGCAACTGTTTAATGGGTATATCCATCCTTTCTAAAGGACAAACTGGTAACTCAATTTCAATCATTTTGTTCTTTAACTTCCTCTCTAGGTGTGGCAACCCTCTGTCCTGTGCTCCCACCCTGACCCAGGCCCGCCACAGGGCCCACCTGCAGCAGTGTTTTGCAGCCCTGGCTCAGTACCAGCGATACCGTGACATTGACCTCGCTCTGGCAGCCGAGGGCGTCCGGTTGGCTCTCGTGAGTCTGGGCCGTATCACTGGACGTGTCGGGGCAGAGGAGATCCTGGATATCATCTTCAAAGACTTTTGCATTGGAAAATAGTCAGTTGAGTTCTAGCAAAAACATGAAATGTATTTCATATTGTTCTGTTTGCCTGCTCACAGAGGAAAGCTGCGTTCTTGTCTGATCCCAGAGTATCGGTAAAGAAAGGGAACTGCCCCATCGTTATGTCTCATTTTGAGATCCTACAAAAGACAAAAGGGGAAAAGGTATGTTCTCTGCTGCAGGGTCACTCTGACCCAAGACACCGAAATCTTTCTCCCGTTGATGCTGCAAACCGGACTGAAATAGTTCTCACAAGATGACAAGTGCCTCAGAGGCCTCATGTGCTCGACAAGAGTTTTGCAAGTCTGGAGGGTTAATTTAAAAATAGCTTCTTAAAGTCTTTGTTAGTTGGACATTGGACTCTTGGGTCCCAACAAAACTGCCGATTTAAAGCAAAGCCAGCTGCAGACCTCTGCAAGGTCAAGTTTTGGATGATGACTCGTACTGAAGGACAATGAAGATTTATTTGGGAGCTGATATCATTTGCGTGCGTGCGTGCGTGCGTGTGTGTGTGTCCTTTGAGTTTTTACTTGTCATTAAGTTTTTGAAGATTCATCATGTTGTTTCTGTAATTAAAAGTAATCCATTTTCATGATGTTCTGTAGCACATTTTATGCTTCATCACATGATGTGAAGTATCAAGGTACCTGTATTTAAAAGATTGAATTGGTACAGTCTAAAATCTTTGTTTGAAGTACATCTCTAGCCATAAAGCAGGTAAGATAAATCTACAACATTAGTACGGAGGGAAAACCAGAGTTTACCAGCTTCCCTCCTGCTCTGTGGGAAAGGGACAGTATTTGGAGGCAATGACTGTGCCCTTTGTTCTCTTGTCAATCTGGCCTCGATCAAATATTTATGTTCCCTCGTTGACCTCCTCACCCTTCTTCCCCAGTCGGTTTCTTCTCGCCCAGTCGCTGACGACAGTCGCCCTGCTGTACACCAGCATAACTCCCCGTCTCTATCTTTTTGTCTCTCTGCTAGCCGACCTTTCCTCTTTCCGCGCTGCTCCGTCAGCCCTTTTTTTTTGTTGTCCTCTTTCATGTTCCACCTGATTAATGACACGGGCGAAGTTAAAGCTAAATCGTGACTTGCTGTTGTACAAACAGTGGCAGCTCATTCTGGAGCTCGATCCTTCTTTGAAGTGGTGTCTGCAAGTGATATGTTATGCCGTTCTGTGTTTTGCTTGTTGGTGTATGGATTAATACTATATATTTATATATTTTACTTTCTATCAGTTTCCTGTAGTTGTCATGAATGACTGCCCTGAGATGGTACAGTTGCACTCTGTAACTACTGGACTAGATGTTGGAGTGTGTGTGTGCGGATTGTAAACACTTCATGTTAAACAAAGGATTTCCTGTGGACAGGAGGCAGACTGTCTTACCTGTAAGTCTCTTCTAGTATTTTTAAAGCATAGGAACATTTGTCTCAATAAACACACATCATATTTCCAACCTTTTTTGATACGTTAACTTCCAAGGTGTATTAAAGAAAATGTATTTGTACATAACCTCCAATGTATCATGAAGTAAGTATTCAAATTTGAAAGTGTTATAAATTAAACATTTCCATGAGTTGATAGGGCTCAGGACGGTCTGTAAAAAGCTATATGTACATACACGTAGGTCTGCAAGTGTTTTTTAACGATATAATAATCATAAAATGGTTCAAAGAAAACACAGCTGTTTCCAGCTGCAGTACTGTAGAGGCTCATCGCTTTGTGCATGTGAAAAGAAAAAGGAAGCAGTAAAGCTTGAGAACAGTAGTAGCTAGTAAACGTCTCATAAAAGAAAGTCATACTTCCAATCTTATTCATGTCAAATGTCATCCTACTGAAGTTTTTATGACCGCCAGCGAATGCAGATGTGTTAATGACTTTGTTGGTGTATGCATTGTAAATTGGGGTGTAGTAGAAATTCAAACAGACAAATAAGCAGCTGCTTCCCAGACCAAGTCTTTGTCTTTGTTGTGTTTTGAAAGACCGAGACGAACAGTACAGACGACAATGCAGCTCAAGATTGAGTCAGTTTTAATCATATTTCAAAATAATGATTTCCCAAACAGCAGAAACCACAACGAGTGACACAAAATTTTAAGTATTTACACCAGTGTCACGGAGATTTGTACATTTACCTTTATGAACCCAAGGCCATTCACAGCAATTGTAACTTTCACAAAGTAACTTTTTTTTGTAAACTGTAACATACAAATGAATCCACTAATCCTCAAAGCTGAAAAAGAATGCACAGAACAGCAAATATGTCATTAATATAGGGTCAGAGTTTTTACAAGTTGTATCGAATGAGGAATATATAAATGTTTCATGGCAACATGCTGATCAGCGTGGCACGTGGTGAGACGTGTGTCTTCCCTTTATCTCCCCTGAAAGATGAAGCATTGAGAAGAATAACGTCAATGACAGCACAGATTCACATGAAAACCACCAAAGAACTACAACAAAAAGATGAAGCTTTGATTTATCTTCTCCTTTTTAGGCAGACAAACATCTCATGTTTACCAATCGTATAAAGATCTAATTGTGATCTCTTCCCACAGAAGGTTTACCGAGTTTTACTGATGTCAGCTTTGTCATTTAACTCCATAGACACACACATCAAATATGCAGCTTTATTATTGTGGGGTATTGTGGTGTTGGCATCTTGTGAATTTATGACTCCTTAAAAATGTTTTTCCGTTGTTATCTTTACTGTCCATCCTTCCTGCTGCTGCCCTCAGATTCCTCTTTTCTGCTGAGTCCACAGGCACCGCCGTACCTCTGCACTGCTGTCATCAGTGTCGTATATCTTATCAAAAGGACGGCTGTCACAGTTTGAAATAATTTGTGGGCGCTGCCTTCCTTTTATTACTCTCATACGTCGGTTCAGAAATAATAGCTGGTTCTCTGTTTCTATTTTACCTTAGAATTTGGCGTTTGCTGGAGCATGTTTCTTAGCTCAATCTTCTCCTTCAGTAATTTCTCCACCTGAACAAAATAAACACGTTTCATTTCAAATAGAAACAATGTAATAAAACAAACAGGTTTGACCTTATTTTTCCCATGTACACATTATCCTCACTATTCCACCCACACTCAATAGCACACAATACCTACCGTGTTGTCATGAGTCCTTTGCAGCTCGGCTGCGTCAGCGAGCGCCTTGACGTACTGCTGTTCACAGAGTGAGCTTCGCACCAGCAGCTCGCTGGACTGTGCTTGGATCTCCGCCACCTGAAAGAAGAATATTTCTAAATAAATGTGATATAATCATCACGTGTGTCTTTTATGAGTATTTTCACTATACTGATGTTTTTCCGACCTACTATTAAACCATGACTATTTTGTGACTTTTGTTCCCCACAATGTTTTTTTGCACTTTGCTGCTGCATCAGCAGAGACAAAAGTTTTTTGCTTTGTCTCCGAGGTCGCCTCAGACGACATCTGGCTCTTTAGCTGTAGGCTTATTGTGAATGATTCACTTCCTCCCTTGAGAAACTGGTTTCCTATTCAATTTGTTATTTGGAATATTCCATCAGAGTTATGGAGTTTATAGGAAGGTTTGCAAGTACAAATTCGGAAAACTATCATTTTGAGGCACTTTAATTGAGTAATTCTATTTTATGCTCCTGTGATACTTCTACTACAGTTGGGAGGGAATTATTGTACTTTTTAATCTGCTAAATTGAATTTACATCATCGCGAGTTAGTATGGGCTTTTCCAATTAAGACAGAGAAAGAATAGGTTTATAAAATACATTTGTATTATGTAATCTTGTTGTATTTAAAAATATTTTCCAACTAACTCAGATGGACATAACTTTTTGATGGACCAGGCTGTAGTGTCCATTGTTCTGCAGAACATGAGGTTACTTATTATTATTTCAGCACATTCTTCTCATAATAGGATTGTGTTTAGATCTGTATCTTTCTGTGTTGTAAAAGCTGTGCAAACAAAATAACCTCTGGAACCTCTGGAGGTGTTTTACTGTGGAGGATCTGAGTATGTCTTCCATCGCTGCTTACAAGTTGATGAAGACGAAATGAAAGTTCCTATTAATGTAAAACACTAAGTTGTATCACTGCCTACTCAATATACATAAGGACATCAAATTAACACACATAATATCTTGTGCATACCCTGTCGCCCACGCTGTTTAAATACAGCTGGAACCTTTTCTCCACATCTCTGGACAGGTTTGTGCAGCTGTTCCTGATCGTCTCCATCTCGGCCTTCTGGCTTTCACAGGTGAGGTGAAAGGTCATCTTCTGGAGAAACAGCCTGTCGATCTTTGTTAGGAAATCGCTGGTGACGCTTTGTATCCCGTCCAAAGACTGAGCAAAGTCCTCTTTGCACTTCCTGGGTAAAAAAACAAAAACATCAGACAAACCACATGAGTATTTAGTCTTAATACTTTCAGTGACTCATACAGATGATGTGGCAAAACAGTACTTAGTGTAGGTGGTGAGCTGCTCCTTCAGCATGGTGGTCTCGCTGCGCAGGCTGCTGGCATCCTGGCGGTGTGTGTCTCGGTCTTTGATGGCGTTGTCTTTCTCTCTGCTCAGGTACTGGACTACGTGTGTGAAGTTGTTTATATCCAGTTCATACTTAGAGTTGAGGTTCTGCAACTTCTTAAGTTCAGCTGAAGAGTTCAGTGGAGAGCAGAATTATCACAGGAACTTTTCAATTTTAATTTTACATTTAGTAACATTTTCTGTGTTCATTACTATTCTGGTATCATTTATATTTAGATATTAAGTATTTTATAGATCAGTTATTAGACATTATTCAGGAGAACTTTAAAAATGCCAGGTTGTTCATTTTATACCAAAAGGGAAGTCATTAATCAATTAAAGGTAAAAAAAATATTGAAAGTATCATAGTATTAGATTAAATCTCCTAACAGTATAGAAGTGGAGTGCATACCAGAGTTACAGGGCGGAGAGGGCTGGTATGAAGTGGCAAGACGTGGGCACGATTGTTTTTGCTGTGAAACCCTGAAATCACAGCTAGTCTAGAAATGAAAAAGAAAAAAATATAGACATTTTTTTAAGGACTATTAATTATTGGCTTTCTTATTATTGCCATAACATGGTGGTGTCACTCAACTCATTACACACATTTACTCAACCAATATTGAGTTCATTTTATTCTTCTTTATAAATTTTAGGTGGAAATAATAAAATATATAAAACCATAAATATTAAAACTTAAATGGCGAATGTTTCATGTTTCAAATATTTGTTGAGTTTTTTACTGAAACAATGAATGAATCAATGTGAAAAGGAATCTAAAGATTAATCAATACTAAAAAATCAGTTGCAGTTAAAAATAAAAATCCTCTTTTAACACAAACAAATAGTCGTAGTACCCAGATATATAAATATATAGCAGTTACAAGGGTCTTTTATTAGTTTTTGTACATTTTCAATGCATGGCTTTAACTTGTAGCCGAGTATCAGTACCTTAAGTAAAAGGTCTGGATTCTTGTTCCACCACTGGTCACAAATAGGCAAACTAAATAATGCTTAAAGAAATAATCATGTTGTATATTTTGCACAGTGCAACTTAGCTTAACCTTCATTGATACCTGTTGTAGACAACATTTCAAATAAAGATTTTGATGTTTTAAAACTACTACTATCAGCTGCTTAACATTGTACCGATCAAGTCATCTACTTACCTTCGCTTGCTTTAGGTCATGTGCTGATTTGTTAGCAATAGTCTTCAGACTTGCCAACTCGGTCTCCAGAGCAGTTTTCTCAGCCGTGTGAGCTCCCAGCTGAGCTGCCAGCTCGCCCTTCTCCTTTTGCAGCTGGAAGTTGTTCTCACTGATCCGGTTGAAGTTCAGCTCCAGCTCCTTCAGGATGAAAAATGGGAGCTCACTTGGCATCATTATCACGGTTACAGCTCTGAACATATATATTAGATCGATATTTAATATATTATACTGTGTGACAGCAAATATTGATGCTGCACAAAACCTTTGATCAAAAACTGTGCAGAAATGATCACATCTTATTCGTCAAGCCTCCTTAAACCGGACATATTATGGTCTCTTTTGGGTTGCATATTTGTATCTGAATTCATTGTTACATGTGTACATGCAAATGGATCTCTTAAAGTCCAGATTGCACAAAAAAAGGTATTTTGTTTAACTTTACTTAACTTTTTTTATGCATACCTCTTATATACACTGTATCAGACAAAAAATTCTAATTCAAACCAAAGTATAACATCACAAGTCCTTTAGCGAGACTTTTAATATCTAACTAAATAAACTATTAAATGTTAACAACACAAGAACAATCTCTGACCTCAACCATCTTTTCTTCTGCAGACTTCTCTGGCTGTCCGTAGATGAGGAAAAGCACCAAGCTGACGATGATCAGGGACTGGATCAGAGAGGAAAAAAAGAAGACGATCCTCATGTAGTAGCCACAGCTCTTCCCTTTGGGCTTGTGCTTGTGCTCCCTCGCCTCCAGGCCAAACTTGGCTCGGGAGTAGCTGGAGCTGTACATGACAGAAGGCAAATGGTGGCAGCTGATTTTTGGAAGAACTGAACAGATGTGATCCTTTGCTAAAAATCCACGAGGCTTCCGTTCAGATGTGATCCTCTCCGCACGGCAGGTGCTCAGGATTCGAGGTGGACACCAAGAGGAGAAGAATGTGGTGAGAAGTGTGTCTCCGCCTGCTACAGCTCTGACTCACTGTCGGGGGGGGGGGGGATGCACGCGCAGAAATGACAACGGATGGCTGGATGTCAACGGTGACCCTTAGCTGTGTGAAGGGGCCATGTCTATAAATGCTGCTGGAGGCGCACTTTGACTCCTGGTTATCCTCCTCCTCCCGTTTACCTCTGTCGAAGTTTACAACTGTAAACCCGCCGAAACTCCCACACGTTTCCCTGGTTGAGACAAAAGAAGATTACTGGGGCTTAAGTATTAAACAAGCATCCCCTCCGCACATTTTAACATTTGTAGAATTACTCAGTCCAAAAAGTACCAATATAACTGATACAACGTCCTCCCTTGGGTATCTTTCCTGGATTAATACAAAGAGAAATTATTTTCATTGACCATGTGGGAAATAGCTAAATTGACTCCATCAATTTGGAAGTGCTTCACATTAGGACAGGGAAAGATTACTAAACAGCAAAGAGGCAATACAGGTCCCCTTAACGGTTAATTCAAGCCAGTTATTGGGTATTTTATTTTAGACTATAATATTTAATTCATTTTCAAATATTTAGCTAAAAAGGAACTAGTACACGTGACAGATAATTGCAATGGAGTATAATGTACAATAGTGTCCTGTAAAATATGGTGGATTAAAAGTAGAATCAAATGGAAGCACTCAAGAACATGCAGTAATTTTCCACCAGTACCTGGATGTGATATATTAAGAAACCAGAAAAGATCATCCAGCAGTGCCACAATTAAATATAGCAACTACAGAATTACTAATCATATTCCCTTGGTGGAAAACAATGTAAGCCATGCAAGGAGTAAAAGCAGAAAACGCCAAACAAACAAAAAAAATTCCACCATATCCTGTTCCGGCGAGCGCGGAAAGGAGTCATCGCAGTGGAGGAGTGAAAGAATGAAAACAATAGAGACCTGTCATTCTTCATGGATGAGGGAATAACAAATTGTCCCTGCTGTACGGACACACCGCCCCTCCCCCCCCTCCCCGCTATCTGCGATGATGACGTGAGGAACAGCCGGCTCTCCTAGGGAAGTGTTTAAAATGGGAAAGGCCTTCTGAGGCCGGGGTTTTCCTGCTCCCCATTGTGTCCCTGAGAAAGTAGCTCACCGGAAAAAAACCTCATTTATGAAGGTGTGTGAGTGACAGAAAATGAGTGACTGAAAAGAGTTAGGACAGACATCAGATCAACTCGTGGACAAAAACAGGAAACAGAACGGTTGAAGACTGAGATAAAAACACCGCTTAAGATAACTGACCAGACACATTTGGGTTCAGAGGGTGAAACTGTAGCGCTGCAGTAATACTCATTGGTGGATAACTGATACGGTGTTTTAACAATAAATGCAGATATACAGATATACAGTGACGCCGATGAAGCTCGACAGTAACGATGTCTGCAGATTTAAAGCAGACATTTTAGTAAAACCCAAAAGACAGAAGAACGCTGATGAAAGCAGAAAATAATTATGAAAACTGACATTTGGATGTGGTATGAAAAACAACCCTGTGTCGTCATTGGACCACAGAACCTTCAGAGTAGGACCGAACCAGTTCAGACCTCGAGAGGGACTCTGCTGCCCCCTCCTGACAAAAACATAGAAAGCCCATGTGAAAATTAAAAACAGGATTCAACGTGCTTTCTTTTTATATCGAGAAACGGCTTCAAAAAGCTCATCTGTACAATGTGTTTCGACACAATCAATCCATCAACGACAGAGATGTCATTGTCAAAAGAGGGGCTGCTTCTACATTACTGTATTTCATTGTCTGTGTAACATACAAGGCTGAGAAATTAACTTAAGATAAAATACAACCCCTTATAAAACACATAATACATTAAAACAGGCAACGAAAAGGGAAAATCATAAACTACAAGGGGAAGCAATATTACAGATGTTGCGTCCTGGGTGATAAAGTTAATCATATTACAGCCGGACATTTGAGACAAATGTTTCACACACAGATCAGCAGGGTGAGGACTCAAAATAAAAAGGAAGCAAGTTTAACAAAAGCCGATGCTTTAACCATCTTCATTCTTTGTAATCCTTTATCTTCTCTTTCTACTTGCTTCTAGGTGAGGTGATATTTACTATATCACGTCCTTCCTTGGAAACCTCCAAGAGTATTAAAGCCCAAAAAACAAATAATTGTATTACTTCTGCAGCTTAAAACAATCATGACTTTGATTATTTTATGGAAACACACACACGTGTGATAGTCCTGTTGTTTCTTTAGAACTACAGCTTGTTTTAACAAATATTCTCACAAATTATTTCTCTGAAGCAGTTAATAGAAAAACCTTCTTTCTAGTAAACCTAAAATCCTAACGGGGCTTTATGGGTGTGCCATGTTTTAGACTGTTGCCTCAATGTCCTGGGGGTCTTCCCCCTCCAGCAGGCTGTAGGACGCGTGGCTCTGGAAAGGTCTTTGTAAAGGATGAGCCAAAAGTTTGGCCATGCAGTTGTGCAGCTCGATGGCAGGTCCACTCAGGGAGACCTCAAAGCGATAGCACACGCCCTTTGAGTCCAGGTTGCAGAAAGAGGTGTAGTTGTCCTGAGGAAAGAAAACATAAAAACGTGGATGTCATGCAGCACTAGAGCAATATATGGAGAATATCACCATGTGAAAAGCTGCTAAAGTAGAATGCCATACTATGGGTATTACATGATGTTGATTCAGACATGACGGTGTGTGAATAGATTTTTAGGGTCCTTATCATCTACCACAAAGTCCTGTCCTGCTAAATGTATTTAGCAGTTGTTGTTTTTTATTTATATTATAATTTCTGTTCCCTATGCCGGGCATCATGACAATAGACTTTGGCCGTATCGCCTAAACCCTACTACACTTCTGCATTTTCATTACTTCTCTCTTGAGGCCAAGCGCCAAATGTTTTCAGTCGTTGCTTAACAGGCTGCGGCTGACTGTGTTGGTAGAAGCTGTTGGTCCGGACATTGTTGCATTTGCTTCTGTCAAAGGAAACCTGAGGCCAACTACAGCACACACGTTGGGACAACGCGTCTTTATTAGCGGATTCACTCACCCTCCAGCTGGTCTCATCCCCCTGCTCCTCCATCCCGTTGTGAAGATAGACCACATCGAAGAAAAAATATGGAGATTGCAGCATTTTCTACGGCAAGAGAAGGACACGCTAGACTTAAACCTTCAATGTAGAGGGGATGTATAGTTCAAGGCAACAAAATACTAACAGGAAAAGAAATACGTAGGGAAATAAAATTCACATTATGAAGAAACCAATGGACCAACTCAGATAGTAGAGTGGAACACAGATATCTCAGCAGTACTCACGCCAACGGCCTCTGATGGGCTAAACTGAAGCTGCCCTGCATGGCGGCTGTAGATGAGCACAGTCCGCACCACATATGGAGGAGGGACGGTCTGAACGTTGTCCATCGACGGCAGCTCAATCTTCTGACGACTTCAAAGCCAAAAGAAAAAAGACAGATGACCTTCAGTAGAAACTTTCTATGCAATGTTTCATAGATTTTAAGAAGGGTAAATAGTCAGATGGTACTTACATTACATTAAGAAGATCTTCAAGGTCTATAGAGAACAGTTAAGGCTAAAATCTAACAGGTAGAATTGATTTAACATCCTACTGTATGTATCGCTTCATTGTATGAAATATATTTTCATCATTGTTCAAGAGTTAGTTTTGAATATAAGGATACTGAAGGACTCGCACACATTGGTCTCAAGGTCATACAGACAGCTGCACAGCTCCCTGGGATCAGACGTGAAGCCTGACAACTGAGGAGCACACCAGTACATAAGAAGAAGAAAATATGTCACAAATTGAGGGGGGAAAAAAAGGGGGAATATTCAGATTAAACCATTTCAGTACTCACCCACAGGGCGTCGTCATTGACAACCACCAGGGCAAACTCATGTCGTTTGTCAATCTTGTGTTTAGTTCTGACAAACATTTCGATCATCTTCTGGGAAATGTTCAGCGCGTTTGTTTTAGACCTATTTGGAAAATGAGTGAAGTTAGTTCCTGGGTGATACGGGCACTGAGGAATGAAGGTCAACTTACCCGTTAAAAGACTCCAACTTTAGCAAAGACATCTCTTCAGAAAGGTCTAAGCAGATGATCTGCCATGAAGAAAACCAGTCAGAATAAGCGAAGAAGGTAGTTTCAAAAGTCATCAGTAAATCAGCTGTGACATGCTGGCATACCACTTTCTCTGGACAGTTAACCCGGGGAACTCTGAGCTGGTAATCTGCCGGTGGGAGGATCGGGGTTGTCATGGCGGGCTGCTGCTGCTGCTGCTGCTGTGTGGGCTTCGGCCTCTCTTTAGCTGCGATGGCAGCAGCGGATAGCGGCACTGTGGCACCGGATGCTGCCGCCGCCAATGCTGCCGATGCAACGGGGGCCACGTTCTGAACCGCAGCTACTGAAAGTGTTGCGGTAGTGGAAGCGAGAGGACTGTCGTTGGTCGAAGCCTCACCCTCGCCCTCCACACGGCTCCCCACGGCAGGCTGGGCTACGTTGGGGTTACTGATCCCTCCGAGGCTGCCCGTGCTGCTGCGACGGTCCTCGGCACCTTCCGGGTTGGAGCGTGTCCGAGGTCGCAGCTCCACCAGATGCTCTTCTCCATCAGCTGGACCCGGCTCTGGCGTCTCCATGGATACACTAGTTGCTATGGAAGGAGGGAGGGGGAGAGGATGAGTTGGGGGGTTTAGTTGAACGCTCAGTGGCAATTCAAAGCAAAAGCTGCTTTTAACACAGATCGTACACTGGACACATGGCAGCAGCATCCATCGCAGATTCACCACCACCGTCACTACCAACTCTCAACTCAATCGTATTTCCGAATGTCAAAGCGATTCCAGTAACTGCTCCACAGTGCCGCTGCGACTCTGTCCGCATAGACGAGGAGCGCAGTAGACAAACGGACACTTGACGTCAGATGTTTGACAGTTTAGACAGAAATGCATCGATCGGTCCCGAGGAGGAGCGCGCACTAGCAACGTGAGCTGCTAGCATTCATTTTAAAATAATTATATGACATATTGGAGAAACACATTAGGACCCGACGTGTATAAGATGTTCATTGTTAAAACCTTCCGGTGGACTTACGTGACGAGTAGGTGCAAAACGTCTAGGATTCAACAAAGGTGAAACTCATTGAAAGTGGCGAAATATTTTACGTTAAACGACGAACTAGCATTTGTTTTGATCGAACTACTTCCTCATCGGAAATGAACGAAGCCGGAAGTGCCAAACCCTGTAGGATCATGGGTAATGTAGTTTGGTTACAAAGGTACGTTTTCTACCCTTTTTACGCCTTTTTTCCTCGCGGATGTTGTGATGCCATTTATAGTCGCAACAAATTTGAAGAAAAAAATATGTTTAAAAAAATAAAAGACTAGTAGTACATTTCCAACAGTGTACATCCAGAGTGAATGCTATTCATAGTGGACTAGGAAAAGGCATTAGAGCAAAATGTGGACAAAACAGGAAGGGACACAAAGTGACATGGAATGGGTGGGGATGACTTTCTGAGTGTTTCCACTTACTTCACTCATCACACTCAATGCTGTTGGACACACATGGAGAGAGCAGACGTCAGCAGTGGCTAACTTTAGTCAAATATTATAATAGGAACAGTAAGACTGAGGAAAGAAGTATCTCATTTTTTTTCCATTTTTGTAATTGGCAGAGAACAGAAACAACAGGAAGCAGATCACTGCGCGTGCATCAGGATCAAGAGCTATGGAGGTTAGTTGTGATGTGTTTTAGTGTTTGTATTACTTGTAATCGTCTTGCTACTGTAATATTATGCACTTTGTTCTGAAACCAGATCACACAATGGTTAGTAGTATTACTGACTTTTTATAACGGTTTTTCTAAAATTAGGAATGGGTCTTTAGCCTGGGACCTATCCACTGTGTTTATGTTATCTTTGGCCCATTTGTCTGTGTATCTTCATATATACAGTATATGCATTGTATATATGTCACATAATAGAGAATAGAATATAAGAGAAACGTATTTATTCTACTACATCTTTGTGTACAACAAAAAATGATTTGGCCGACAAATATTTGCTCCGCAGGAAGTTGGATCTCAGGATGTTTTAGTTTCCTCCTTTTCCGCTGCTCAAAACAAAACAGGGCAAATGTGCAACAACAAGGTCTGGTTAACACACAGCATGAAACAGGAATTAGCTCAGTTAAATAATGAACAGCTCTTCAATGGCGGCTTATTATTAACAATCAGACAGAAGTTTATGTCGGAAAACATATCAGTATACAGTACGGTATAGGAATATCAGTAAATATTTGTGAACACAGGGCAAATTATTTTCTTACATTCTAAATACAACTTCATGTGTTTGCAGGATTTCTGCCTGGTTCGATGCGACAGCCTGGACGCTGGTTCAGGGTGTGACAGAGAGGTGATGACCCTGATCGACCACATGACCCTTGACCCGGAGGGCTTTGATCCCACAGCAAACCTGGAGCCTTCGCCAGCAGAACTGGCTCAGTGCGAGGCTGAAGTGGGCACGCTGCTCAACATCATCGCTGAATTGAACAAGAAGATGGGTTCGCTAAAGGCACCAAGGTAACATTAGTGAAAGATTGACCGGGTGGGTATTATTAAAACTGTGACACTGATATGAGCCATAAAATGTACCTGAGTGAATACATTTGGGTTTACTTCAAATGCATATTTTGGTGATTTGTTACACATTTCCCATTAACACATTAAATATTGGTCTGCTTAGCTAGTCTAAAAATAAACAACGTGGTATTTACAATCAAAAATCTTAATGCTACTAGTATTCTGCAGTGACCCGGGGAACCCGAGACCACAAGAACTATCTAGACCTCTGGTTCCAGACCTCCTGTCCCACAGGCTGCTCAGAAGCAGCTCGGAGAGTAGTACTGCCTCTGCTGCCACATCTAAACCTTCACCGACTGAGCGAGGTTGGCACAGTAACAACATTACTTTGTTTTGATTTATAATGCATCTATTGGTTGTTTTCCACCTGGTTGCTTTCTTTTTAAAGATATATTTCCTCCAGTTGTATTAACTTAAATATCTACTCCATAGTCTGAACAAGACCGAAAGTGATTTTGAAGGAAATCAAACATTACCAATAATCTGACTTAAGACATAGAATCTGACTTTTTTTGGTTTTATTGTGTTATTCATAGTATTCATGTAAAACCACCACTCACTCATATTAACACGATTAACTGCATCTCTACTTTGCATTCACAAGGGGGCGGTGGTGTGGTGTGGACTAAACTACAAGAGGTTTTATCATCAGTGGAGGACTCCATCAGCTCTAAAAGGTCCTGGGCCGCCCCCATCACAGCTTCTGACCAATATAAGCACAGAGAGCATCTTCGAGCCACCCAGGAGAGTTGGGTTAAAGTCACTCAGGTATTAAAATTGTATAAAACTTGATTTCTTGACATTTTTGATTTTTTGTTATTAAAGCTGCGGATATTTTTAGATAAAATGTGCCGACATTTTTTGTTAAATATACTTGATTTACATGATTGTTACTCTCAAAAAAATGGATTAATTCCAAAATGGATGTAAATAGGGGTATTATAGCTGTCTTTTTTTATTTGATGGATCAATTTATGCAAAATATATTTAATTTCTCTCTTCTTTAGTATTGCATCTGCCCCTTCCATAATTTTAGCTCATTGGTTTCAGATATTGAAGGACATGGAAATAGAGTTTGGGATTTCATGCCCATCGGCCCCGTCAAATGACAACGGCGTCCTGGATCTGGAGAAGCGAGACTCTGCTCTCAGGAGCACCTTGCAGAGTCATCAGGAGGAGCTTGAGAGAGAACAAAGCACCTTCAGCCAGATGGAAGAGGACAAGAACAAGGTAGAAGATATGCTTTCGTTCATAACAGAGTTGAGAATATAAGAATTGTATAAATGCAAATTTGGCACATTAACTCTGCTCGTATTTCAGCTGGTTGGTCTCCAAAAGTCCTGGAGGTCAGGAGGTCGCTTCTCCTCCTACCGGTCCACTGCGGGGGCTCCCAGTCCCACCCTCCCCTCTCCTCCCCTCCCGGCTTCACCGTTACTCTACAGAAGAACAGGCAGAGCTGTAACACCGCTGTGTGTAGGCGGCGACGGTTCTCCAGTGGACTCCGTTACCTCATGCAGTCCCTGTCCGAGTCCCATCGGCCTGGAGACTGAGACGGAACGGCTAACCAGGTAAAAGGAGAGCCTGAAGTAATGAAAGTCCCCCTGAGCACACTTTTGTCTCAAATTGACAGTTTAAAAAGCAATTACTTTACTTTTACATCACACACCGTCACTAGAGTGTAGAGCCTACGAAGAGGATTGTGACTTATGCAGATACAGTGTTTTTGCCAACAGGTCTTTTGGCTTGATGAGTCAAGATGAGTTTGTCTGAGTCAGCAATATGGTTAAACGGTTTCTTCCTTTTATAGAAGCTTCATTATGTCTATATGTAAAACTCTCCTCTCTCATCCTCTCTCTCATTATTGCAGATGCATCGAGAGGCTGAGGGCCAGAAACGAGCGTCTGACTGCAGCTCTGGAGAGACGGAAGGGAGAGACAGAACGACTCAGCATGACTCTAAACAGACTTGAGGCTAACTGCTCCGCTCTGGAGACGGCTCTCAGATACTGGTACAAACATCCGGCAGACAAATACAGAGGCCATTCAAGGATGTTCATGACAATGATCAGAAATCTGCTGGTTATTCTCATGAAGTGACGACGGATTTGGTCTTCGTGGTTGTGATTGACAGCGAGGAGTGTGAAGAGGCCTACAGCGAGCTGCTGTCACTCCATGACGCCAGAGAGCCGCAACGCATTCCTCTGCAGACAGACTCAGCAGATGTTTGTATACCATGTTTTAATACCTACGACTATGTCAACCCCCCCCACACACACACACACACACACACTGTAAGGCTCACAGTTTCTCTTGTGATCAGAGGCAGTTGGTGACAGGCTGCAGCCCGACGGTCCCTCATCTCCGCTCATGGGAACTGAAGAGCTGTCCACCTCTTTCTCGACAGTCACAGAGGAGATGCAGACACAGAGTAACACGGGGCAGAGGTGACGTCTCTACGTGCTCCTTGTACATTCATAGGAACATTCTTGTATTTGAAAACCGCAAATAGAAGAATCGGAACCTCAAACGAATCATTGTCTCCCAGCACCTAAAATGGAAATGCCATTAATCACATTTTGTGGTGTTTTGAAAGCGTCAGAAATCAATGATGTGTGACAAAAGAAATAACCTTTTTGTTTACAGAAATAGCCATTTTGTTGACCACATTTATGCGAGGTCACTCACTACCGTCTAACCTCACAGGACAGCTGAGCTGGTGGAGCGAGAGGCTGTCCTCCGCCAGCAAATTGAGCGCCTGAAGAGAGACCGGGCAGCCATTTGTCGGCCTAAGCTGAGCCCAGGAGTGGAGAGCAAAATGAGCCCCGGAAATGGTCACCCGGCTGGACCAAGAGGGGGACATGTGACTAAAGACAACACCAAACCTCCTGACGCCAAGAAAGCCAAGGCTTCCCTCTTCTGTGAACTCATTTCTGTCAGGGTAGGAGCGTTGTGTCCTTAAATATAATTTAAGAATTAACATTTGAAACTTAATCATAGAGATGACAAAAAAGTGGCCTTGTCCCGATGTCATAGTTGTCTAGGATGATTTGTTGAAGGCAAAGTCAATATAGAACTAATATTACTAACTTTTCAAAACACTGTTTTTCTTGTGGCTTTACAGAAGTCGGGGTAAAAATGTTGTGCTTCTGCCACTAATACATACACAACGCTGCTTAGCTCGTATCTGCATTCAACTCTAGTCTGTTTCATGGTTTTACTTTTTCAGGAAGAAATGTCAGATCTGCGAGCCCTAATCCGCCTCAAGGAGAAAGATTTGAGGCGTCTGGAGTGGGGCTTAATGTCCCAGAAGGTCCAGGAATCAGCCGCAGCCTACGTTCCAGAAAGCCTGAAAGAGGAGATGGAGGATTGTAAGACCGAACAACAGGTAGGACACGACTCCTCCTTTTTTTTAATTCATCAAATAATACAAAGTCAAGGTGAAATGAGCAAGCGGGAGCAGGACTTTGGTCCACTGTGGCAGACCCGTTTCAAATCTGGGTGTCCCACATGGGAAATCACACATCTACCAAAGCAGAATCCCTCCAGGCCAAGAGGGATATTTTGGTTCCACAAGGTCTTCTGCCGAGCTGTCCTGTCGCAGCAGCACAGATTCATCACACACCTCATCATTGGCCAATGAGAAAGAGCTGGGCAGCAACTTTAGGTTATCACAGCTTTCAGTCAATCGAGTGGTTTCAAAGCTGGTTTCTTCTCTTCCCCAATATTCATTTTGAATGGTTTAGAAGAACCACGCACGTGGTTCACCACTATGACTGACCTTACAGACTATTGCAATAGTTCAACCGAAAGTTCCATTGCTTCCAACGCTGAGGCAGCGTCGTAAATGACGTCCTGCCCGGTTTTATTCTCTACGGTTGGAGCAGTGGCTTCCAGTCGAGGGGTTTCGCCCTCGTAAAGATAGATAAGTCTGATACTGGTACAGAATTTAATGGGGAAGGGCTGCCGAGCATTGAATAATAATAATAATCAAAATTGAATGTTATGTTTCAGAGGGTCTGTGAAAATGCAGCTAAACCTGATGGTGACGGAGACATCGCTGATCCTCCATCCAGACCCATTCTGAAAGAGCTGCAGGCCGTCCTTCAAAGGTGAGACTGTTTCATTTCTATGTGCACTGCAGTCTGCGTAGTGCTTTACGACACAATACTATTCATAAAGGCAACTATGATAATATAGTTAAATATTACCCTTTTAGAATGTTTTAACAAGGAAACCCGCAATATAATTGAAACTGATGTCATCTGGAGAAATCTGGGTATTCACTGGTAAATTAAAAGAGGTTCCTACCGAATGTAGTCAGTGTACAAAATGTATCATTCAGATATCTGAAGCCTGGTTTGATCTGTTGCTTAGAAACGCTGTTAGCAGAAATGCAGACTTTGGACTTAAAGGACATCTTGTTCTCTCCATCAGATGCTTCGTAGAGAATCCCATTCTTCTTCTGACCTCGAATAGTGAATACTTACACTGAACAAAGCGCAGCTGTCATCAAGACATGTAGAATATTTCGCATAGAGTTTATGAATGGTTGATGTGAGGAGCCTTTGTGCCTGCAGGAAAATGAATAGAGTTACATGATGATCTCCCTTTTCACGTGATCTTATCTTTGTTTTTAGGGAACAAGCCCTAAAAAAGAGACTGGCTTTAGTTCAAGACTCACTAAACGCGGCTCTGTCAGACAGCACCTCGCACAGGAGGGACAATGGAGACCAGATTGCCCGACTTACACAAGCTCACAGGTTAGCACCTCAGGAAGGTGTTGTTGCCCATCATCTTTCTGCTTGTACAACTTAAGGCAAACATCACAGGTCATCTTGTAAGCTCATTGTTTATGTGATAGTGTTAAATTGCTTCTTACTTGGTGGGTTTTCTTACGTTTCAGTAAAGCCTTGAGTTCGTACCGGCAGATTCGCCGGAAGTACCGGGAGCAGGTGTGGAGGCTGGAGCAGAAAGCGGCGGCCGTGATGGAGAGTCGCCATCTCCAGAGTGCAGCGGAGGCCTTGGAGGGGAGGAGAGAAGAGACGATTCTGTGATCCTAAGAAACAGCTTCACGGACTGCTGCCGTGGGTTTAGACTCTTCTTATTAAGATGTTTTAGTGTTACTTAGTTGCGCGTAAAGATATATGCACCTTTTTTATCTACTGTATGTATGTGTCAAACCATATATCGCACCAACAGCAGTGTTTTCAGGCATTCATTGGCTCAGAGAGGCCAATATAGATTATGTAGGTCAGTAGAACATGAAAAGCAGTTTCAATTGGCCTTTTTAACCCGAATGTGTGGGTCACCAACAAGCAGAAATGGGAATCCACAGCTTAACTTGTCCAACAGGAAACGCACGTCACAAGACACATTCCTTATTTCAGAGAAACAGCTGTCATGCAGTCACGAATTCAGGGGCTGAGCCCTCTGAGGAGCTTAGGACTGACCTTCGAGAGTGCACATGTCCTTTTTCCCATACAGGCTGACTGCGTAAAGCCCCTCCCAGCGAGCCGTCGTCACAGAGCTCAGAGGGGGGGGAAGGGGCCACGGCGATGGCCGATGGTCACACGGAATGAACGCCAAGCCCATTTGTCTTCTTTGCACGTGACAATCATTTTCTCTGCTGTCCACTATTTCCAATTCCTCGCTAATATCTTGAAGAAAAAAGGCTATCATGAGACATTGGTGTAAAACTAATCAGCTCGGAAGATTTTGTTTTACTTTTCAGACATAAATAATTGAAACCCTATAACATTATTGGGCTCGAGGTGAACAGTTGAATTCAAATTGGTGCAGCATTGAGAAAGCCTTTCGTTTTAATACGATCTGGCCAAACTTACTCTGATTCTGATTCTCCAACATTGCTGGAACTTTTCTTTGTGATGTTGCAGGTTTTGTGAATATACCATGAAGCTTAATTCCTTCTGTTGTTTTATCTTTTCTTTTGGAGGAGCAATAGAGTCTTGTGTCATTTGTAGTCAGCATGTACTGTATTATGTTGTATTTGCGCTATCGTTAAATGTCATTGTTCCCGGATTTGAAAACCTAATAAAAATATATAATATTAAAACCAAGATATTTTTGTCGGTTTGGGGGTTTCATTGTTGTCTATTTTTTGCCAATACAAAAAAGCAATATTTCTAAATCAAATAAAACAAATAAACCGACAGACACACCTGACAATAATAATAAGAAAATGTTATTTCACTCGTTTCTCTTTACCTCACTCACACCTCCGTTTCCTCTCCCCTCATCTTCTCTCCTCACTCATCTCTCAATCATGTTGATGCCCTCTCCCCCCTGCAGCCGTCCCCCCTTTACGCTGACCCACCCGAGTCGGTCAGCTGCAGCTGTGACCGGCGGTCAGGAGGTTAAGGCAAAGGTTGAGTGTCACGCCCACAGGGTCACGGCGACGCAGCGCTGTTGTGTTAGACTTTGAATGGAGGGTTCAGAGCGGCAGACGAGGTGGCGAGCCCCCGACGCCCTGACTCTTGCCTGAGCTTGCCCTTTCCCGAGCGGAGGTCATCACAGAGGGCCCGTCCTCGCCGCTCCCCCCATGCCTGCAGGTCACCGTCTCTATTGTTGTGATAGCTGCCATTAGAGCAGATGATGCAATCATCGTCCCATTGTGTGTTCTGTGTCTCTAAGATCTCCGTTGGGCTTCTGAGTTCATCGAAGGTTTTTAAGACGACGTGATTGTTATAACCTCCTGTGGACTCGTGTCAAACAGCCTAAATTATGCCGATCTCTCCTCTGGAAAGAAAAGAATATGGCTTGTTACCGTTCTTACCGTACTTCAATTATCAAAGTAAAATAACTCATTCTGAAATAAAAATGGCCCTGGCTACGGATTCATTACACTATTGTACACAAAGTTGGTAAATCGTACTGGAGCTGAGCTTCACTACTTTATATAATGTTGAAGTAGTTCATTTAAACCAGCGTATTGTGTTTTAAAACTTCAACGTATTATTTCTTAAATGTAAAATAGCAATAAGTAATGTAACCAGTGAATGTAGATTTCAAATATAAAAGTATAATATTTGCCTCTGAAATGTAGCAGACTGGAGGAGCAGAGAAGCATAGCATGAAAATAGTCCACCACTGAATGAGTTCCACACGATTGGACAGTACTAAAAATTGTACTTCTGCATCTCTCTCAGTATCTTCTTATTCTGTTCATTTACATTTAAATATACATTGTCTATGTCTGCCAGTGGAATACTTGAGTTTTTCTCTCAGACATATGGTGGAGTATATTAATCAAAAGGAAATAGTAAAAGTAAACTATTATTGAATAATTGTCCTGCAATGCAGTTTGTACGATCTCGGCCTGGAACTCATTAGACGGCTGGAAGTTTTTGCCTTCAAATAAATGTTATTCAAACATGGCTCAACATTTCTCTGTTGAAAGATTAAAAGACTTTCTTGACTTTGCCCCAAAATGAAAGCATGGAAAGTCTACTGGGATCTTTCCTGATATAATAAATAAATTCAGATATATGTGTGCGATGAAATTTATATTGAAATACGTTTTTTCAAAACCAAAGAAGAAGTGAGAAATGCAGACAAAGCGCACGAGAATGGACTGATTAGTTATTTAAATGGTGATGGTATTTTGCACGCTGCAGCGGCTGTGACACTCGTCTGGTAACAGTTAGACTCAGATGTAACAGCCAGCATTCAAGCCAGGGGACAGGGGAGGTTTTCAGCGCCTGGGAAAAATACTCAAACCATTATTAGTCAACGACAGAGGCTGTCAATCAGTGTGGGGGTGGACGCAATCTTGCTCTCTCCCACTCTCACACACACACACACACACACACACACACACAAAACACTACCCCGAGAAGGGAGGGTCGCTGACCCTGGGGTTTTAGGTCAACTCATTTACTCTTTGCATCCGTTGCTCATTTTAATAAGTTGTCCCTCCGTAGGCCGCTTGAAGAGGTCACAGCCTGCGGCCTCATCCCCTTGCCCTCTCTTTCTCAAAGCCATTAGCTCACCTGTCACAACCACTCCACATGCCCTCTCATCTCCCGCTCGTCTCTGTTCTCTACACTGACCCGACACCTCTCCTGAGTTTTCTGACACAAGTCAGGCCCACGTAGGTCAGGGGGATGGGCCTTTATCATTGAGAAGCACGAAAGGGATCTGACCTCAATCAAATGGCCGATCACATCCGTTTGGTGATCTTACCCACTCAGATAATGTCATTAAATAGCTCAGACCAGCCACAAAAACCACCAGACAAAAGACAGAAACCGTGTTGCGGGTGAGACGGATAATGGGGACTTACATGCCCGAGCTCCTATCAAGGGATTGTACGCCTGTCTAGAGGTTAAAAGAGTCGCTTGAAGCCCCAAATTCACCCTGGAACACCAGGCACACTTACTACAGGAAGGCTTTGTTTTATTAAGGCCTTTATTATTATTATTATTATATAAACAGAAATAAAATAGTCTGAAAGAAAGATGTTATTGGTTTGGAAAATGGTAAAACATTATAAAGACTAGTTTCATTTGAAATGAGTAGCATTATACTACTGAACATGTCTCAATGCACAGTATATTTTACTGTAAACTAATCAGAAAAATCTTTTTTTTAAACAGAGGGTCTTCTCGTGGTGATAGACAGATGTGATACTGGATATTTGATAGCAATTAATTTGTAGGATGCAAATAAACAAACTAATAAAACAACATATTAGTCCAGATGCTTATTAACAGGACACTTCCACGTCATTCAGAAAATCTAATTCAGAATGTCTGAATTCAACTTCATGTGGAGTTATTGTGGTTCACGTGATCCCACATGAGATGAACATACAGGATAAACGCAAAACGGATACCTTCATTCCAATGAATAGGATAGTAAACAGGATAGTGACAATAAATCAGTGTAAAAACATAACATACTGAGTTGCTTGCTAAACGAGATCATGTGAATGTCACCAGTTTTCAACCCAGTTGAACACCTGTCAGAGGTTTTGGATCAACAACGGGAAATCTGGAATGACATTCAACCAGATATGCTGAGTTTCAGAAACAACTGTTGCAACTTGTTATAGGGTATGAATGAAATATATGAATTCTCATCTGAACGGAGCTTATCATCGTTTTGTGATGCACGCAGGCCCGACCATTATCTTACATAGTGAAGTATTGTTGGCAAGCCGCTGCTGAGCACAGATCAGTGTCCAAACCAATAACACAGCAGATTATCGTAGAAGAGGTCAAATAGCTTTCCAGTTTGTGAGCGGTAGATTACAGCAATAAGGTGTTTCAAGGGGAAAGGTGGCAGAGGGAGTGGCCTCGTCCCAATCCACTAAAAGCTTTCGAGTCGTCTTCACTGAGCTGATTAGGATATTATCCTGCCGTCTCGAGCGCCGCGTTCGACCTATATGGCGCTCGCAGAGAGCGACAGATTGGACTCAGATTTAAAAGAGATTGAGTCTGGTGTTTGGGAACACGAGCAAATTGCTTTGGCTAGAGAGTTAATGCCCTCTCTGAAGATACATTTTCAAACAAGGCATTATTTGATTCTCGTGCCAATCGGGTTCATCTTTGAAATGTATATTGACAAACCGCCAGCGATACTCATTTTACATCTGAATAAAAAAGGAAGCTCTCGCATAAATCAAGTCATAACTATACTTTTGCATGCCTGCGCGCATCGTTTATTCCTTATCTGCCATTTAGTTCTCACTGATGATCTCAATTTTGCTGCCACTGCTGGAGGCTGTAAATCATGATATCAGCTGGTTCCCTTGATCCAACCGCACAACAAGCCAACGGCCTTTTTCTATGAATATTAGTTTGATTTTAAAATCAATCAAACAACATGTTACATGAATGTTAAAGCTATGTTGGTCAAGGGTGTCATCTCTTTGATGCTTTGTTTGATGCTTTAGTCCCTCTTATAGTGGCGTTTTATACTCAAATCAAGGAACGTTTAGATCCAAAGCCAGCCATAAAAAATAATTTATCATTCACAATTTGACTGATTATAATCAATTGTAAAATGTCTATCGGCCCCACATGTATTTAAACAACGGTTCAAATGAGTAGACATAGAGAGAGTAACAGATTATTTGGTTAGTGGGTTAGTTGCCTACCATGTCTCATCAGCCTCATTTTTAGCTAAAGTAGCAAACAAGTTCCAAAATAACCTTGTTCACCTCCTGTCGACTGGCACAGTGCAGGTAAACATAGCTGAGCAGTTATCAGCTGAAGACATTTCCCTTGAAGGCTTTGTGAAGGCCAAACCAGAGCTGACAACAGAGTGAATACTGAACTCCAAATGAATGCTAATGTGCACGTAACAACTTTTATAATATTCTGCTGATAATACCTCATTCTGCCGCTTGTGTTCTTTCTCAATATCTCAATACTACGTCTCTGACGCTGACTGTTGTTGAGCGTTTGGTTTGCGTAAGAAGATCCTAATTGAGTCTCCTTTACCATTGTTCTTGTGCTGAGTGACACTTCAAATAGGGGCAACTTGCCGTGATGTATTTCCCTCACCTAACGACGTGGTTTCGTTTGACGTGGTTGAGCCAAAGCAACTCGGTTCTTATCTTAAGAGTAAACACATGTTACATTACATAGTTCTATTGACTCTTTCACCTTAAAATGGTTGATACCCGTCCAGCGAACACAAGGGCGCTGATTTGAATGACAACACACACCAAATGGGAAGTTTCCCACCATCTCCAGCAGGTCCCGGGTGGGGGGAGGGCAAATATTGATTGGATGCCAAGTTGCTATGGAGTCACCCCAGCAGATGTTTTTCTTTGGCAGGTTCAACTGCTCTGTGTATCTTAAATTGCTCCGTCATTGGCTTGAGGTCAAAGGCCCGAGGATGGAGAGAATGATGTGTAGAGGGGGAGAGAGAGAGACAGAGACAGAGAAGGGAAGACACGATACATTTCTTTTTCTATGTCCTGTGGTCCAAAGGGCAGCAGGGGTTAATGAGGAAGGAGCAGGGAGTCATGTGCTCCTGCTTGTTCAGCCACAGTTACTTCTCAGAGTTAAAGTTTAACCCTGTTTTCAAATTCCTCTGCACTTTAACTTATGCTGCTAACGCAATTCCAGACCTATAATCACCCAATTATTGGCCCAGAATCACATGAATTGTTACCAAAGTAACCAAAGCAACATTCTGTAAAAAGTAATACAGCCAGTACTGACATATTGCATGAGTATCTTACATAATGTGTAGTTTTATTGTATCAGATTCAAAGACCCACGTCTCTTGATTCAAGGTAAAGAGATTGAATAAGCCTGCAGGCCTTCAGCTGGTTGTATTGACATATACGTATATATGTGTGTGTGTGTGTGTGTGTGTGTGTGTGTGTGTGTGTGTGTGTGTGTGTGTGTGTGTGTGTGTGTGTGTGTGTGTGTGTGTGTGTGTGCAGTGTGCAGGTGAGTGTAATGGAGGTTTCTCTGCCTCTCTCTGGTGGCTCTGGACTCCTGACTGTGTTGAGAATGTACAGACTCCACCACAGTCGACTTCACACTGAGAGCCACTGCATTCCTGACCTGCAGTTCAAAGAGCAAAGAACACGCAAACTCACACCCACACACACACACACACATGCACACGTGCACACACACACACTCACACACACACACACCTAGATGTATACGGCATATACTTTGTATTTATGCACAAGGGCACATGCACACTCTTCCGTTTTTATCAGCATTCCGTAAAAAATGTAGCATTTACAAAATAACTTATATTTATGTGAACATTTCTTGTTCACTTGAAATTACTGGAATTTGTCCGTGAAAAAGGTCAGTTTACTTTTAACCCTGAAGCAGTTTCCTTTCTAACATTTAACTCATTTAGATTTGGTCACATTATCATGGTGTGATTGGTCGTATGAGATGAATGCACTTATTTTGCCACACTTTGACATTATTAACGTGTCAGCAAGTCAAATTCATATGAAATGAAAATATTTCACAATAAAAGGCACATGCATCGTTTATTTTTTAACTGCAGCAGTTCGGGGTAACATTGGCGTTTAAGTAACTTATATGGAAGATGGATACAAAATAAACAATAATAAATGTTTCATTTTGGTTACTGGACACTGAAAAAAAACATGTTCCACAACAAAATCTTTACAAAATTATCCAACCTCTACTAATACAAATGCACGAAGCGAGGCTAAAAGAAAAACAGTAATTAAAATGACAACAGCTTAGCTTGACCTCTTAACCAAACAAAAGGTTTATCCATGCACAATGAGTCTTGCTGTGACGGATGTGGGTTAGAGTTACCTTATGTTCACATTCAAAATGATTGAATTTAACGTCAGTGACATGAAACAAGTCCTTGCTCATCCCGCCAGCCTTGTTGTCAACGTTTACCTTTTTGCTCCTTTGACATTCATGTATCTTCTGCGAGGCCAAACATTCCGTTGAACAACACAAGGTCGGAATGTTTTCTCATCCTGGGGGAATTGCTGTAAAACCGAGCTGTGAGCAAACCATCTTTGTTGCATAGAGGTTCTTTTACTGATTCATGCTTGGAAGTGAATATCTCCTCGGTGGGTGTTGTTTTTCTCCTTAATTTGAAGGCTGTTAAACCTTCCAGGCCCTGATTGTTTATTTTGTCCTTCGTTCACAAGACTGCCAAGACGATGGATGACTTATAAGATTACTATGCACTGTCCACCTGTCCCTCAGATTAAATACATCCAAACACAAATAATCTGTAACAGCAAACGTGTTTTGAAGGACATTTAGGAATGGCAGGTTTAGGGGTTATCAACCTAAAGAGGAAACTTCCCAGCAGGACATAAACTATCGATGTTGCATATGTAAGCAATATGTTCACTGACAATTTCATTTGTCTTCATCACCCATTGAAACATATGAAAGTATATGAAAGTATGATGTGTTGGCCAGAAGCAGGAGGTGAACCCTGGTTACCGCTGTCACCTCCCCACCGCAGGCGTACCCTTCAGAACGGTGGCACCGCCTTTAAAGGAAAAAGAGTTTCCAGGGAATTGTTATTGTAAGAGTTCAGCCACTTGCTCCAAGTAGGACTGTTTCCCCTTGTGTCAATAAATAGACGAAGAGCTACAAAAACCTATTTTGTAGGATTTGTTAAGACTGATGTGGAGGTAAAAACTAAAAATATTAAAAACACAGCACGCCAAGCTTAATTAGAGGGAGATCTACCACATTGAAACATTCGGTTAAGGTTAGAGAAAGATTGTGGAAACAGTTACTGAAGAAACAATCGTTGATTGTAGGTCTGTGAACTGGTGTGTGCGTTGAGGATCGACCACCCACCTTACGCCCTTCCCTGCATACAGTGTGGAATACTAAACCTCCCATGGCATCTCACAATTTTGCAATTGGACATAAATCAGGACTATGCATGGATGTCGTGCCTGTGGCGACACACTCGACCTGCGACGCGGTGCGTCTTTCACAAAGACCAGTGAGCGCGTGCAGCAGGTGTGAAAAGGAGCCGGCGGCGTATCACGTAACCTTTGACAAGTTGCTCAACAACAACAGGCCCTCCCTGTTATTATTGGGTCAGCAAAGTCTGAGACATTCTTTGGGATTAGAGTGAAGTGGAGAACACGAGGGTGAGTGCCATGCGCTTGCTCTCTGTCAACCCGAAACACCACCGCCTTCTTTGTCTCACGGCAGTGTTGGGGTTAAATCCCCCTTTGCTTCCACGCTGGCTCGGGGTCAGGGGGGGAAACAGGCCCGCAGTCAGGCAGCCAGGCATTCTTTCAATGTGTGTGTGTGTGCGCGTGTGTGTCGTTGTGTGTGTGTGTGTGTGTGTGTGACCGCAGCCCACTCCGTGCTCTTTGACTTCACCGGCCTTATAAGGCATCCGGTGCCATGGCAACGGCAGGGCTTGAATAGCAGTGTCAAATCCCTTCAGCACACAGACACACGCTCACTCTCCCTAAAGGAGGGAGCGAGGCAGAGACGCAGAGACGGGATTGAGAGGAGCAGGCGAGGAGCAGGCGAGGAGCAGGCTATCTCAGGGCTGCTTACCACGGCGGCGTCTGGCTTTCACTAAAAGGTCCGTGAGCGTAATTTATTCCTGCAGGGGCCATCAGAAAGACGGCAGGAAAAGAAATAAAAGACGAGCAGAATAGTGAACAGCGGACCGGGTCACCCTGACTTGCTGACAGGGTGTGCGGAGAGGTTGTGGCCTCCGGTCGTTGCTGCTGGATGGACGAGCATTGACAAAACAAGGAGACAACACGTTGTGGAGCCTCAGGAGGGGGAACATTTCTCAACTCTGCGTCTGTTTTTGGCTTGTTGCTGTTTTTGTTTTTCTGTGACATTTGAGCCTCTGACACCACAGACTCTGGAGAGTTTGGGGAGCCACAAGAAAACAGACACAGGAGAGGAGGACATATTTGATGAGCTTTGTAGCTGCTGGGAACACAGAAACATCATTCCACAAGTGAAAGGAGTGTATTGTCTTTCTCAGCACTTCTGATGCTGATAACAAGCGTGGAATCTTTTTGGCTTTTTAACGAGTCCAACGTTTTCCTGGACAAAATACTTATTGTATTCAAAAGCTGATGAGGCGTTATTGTCGGATCCTCTTTGACTAACAAAGAACATTTAAACGTCCAATTTCCAAAACTCGCGATAAATTACATTTTTTCTCTTCACCCTGATCACCTTTGCATCTACAACAGCTCCGACAAGTCAAGAGTGCGTCTGGACTAGAACTGCCTCAGATCTGCAGATAACACCTCCTGCACGTAAGGAACTGGTTGGACTAGTTTATAAATTGGAGGAGAGGGCAGGGCAGTTTAACCCCGCCTGAAGGAGAGCTGCGCTCTATTTTCCTTTTTTTTTTGAAGGAAACCGAGCACTGAGAGAAGGGCAGAGACTTTTTTCTTCATTAGGAGAGTGACTTCTTTCTTTTTTTTGTTCCGTATTGTTGTGCCCGGGGGTAAGGTGCTTTTTTAACCTTCCTCCAGGTGGGGGAGATGTAGAGGGAAAGTGGGAGGAAGAAAGAGAGAAGGAGTCAAAGTGTAATTTATTGTTTCCAGTGAAAAGAACGAGGCTGCACCCTTTTCTCCTGCCTGAACTCTGAACCACTCAATGTGTGTCTGAAGTTTTCTCAGACCTCGGGAGCCATTGATTGAAGGTCAGGGCAGAGAACACAAGGGTGAAAGACAAGAACAGAGAGAGCGGAGGGATTAAGTAAGATTTTAAAGAACAGCATTGGGAAGGACCTCCAGGTCGTTACTACCACACGGCAAAGGGCAGAAAGGTCAAACCGGGAGAGCCCGGGACGACAACTTTTCAACCCCAAAAAACTGCTTTTAATACAAGGAGCTGGTTTCTGGTCTAACCTCTAATCAGTTTTTAGACTGAAAGGCTAGTCGGAGGCTGGGGGACGGGGCGGGTCTGTGCATGATCCGCTTTGAGGGCTGCGTGTCTCAGAGAATATGGCCATGGTGAGCGGGGGATGGGGCAACCCCAACGGGGACACGAACGGACTGGGGGAGAAGGTCTACCTGAGGAGGGAGGAAGAGGAGGCCTCGCCTCAGGCCGGGAGCAGCGACATAGACGTCGGGGACGAGGACAAGGCCTGCGTGGTGGACTGCGTGGTCTGCGGGGACAAGTCCAGCGGGAAGCACTATGGAGTGTTCACCTGCGAGGGCTGCAAGAGCTTCTTCAAGAGGAGCATCAGAAGAAACCTCAACTATTCCTGCAGGTGAGCGCTGCTGGGAGAGTCAAAGGTGTTGTTGTGTTGACAGTTTGAACGTTATCATCTTTCATCTGTTTGACTTGTTCTCGTATGACACTTACCAACACGTTTGGTAACACAAACTGTTAATAACACACTCTAAAACGTAGTTGTCAACAGATAGTAACGTTATTAAGATATTTGCCTCGTCTAGTTGGTGCTGGTATTAACAGGCAATGAACAACATTTACTAAAAATGTAGACTTCAGATGTCCTTGCATACGCGTACATTTGGAAATGTAAACGTAAATCTTCAGACGGTTCTTTTTAAATGCTAAATGTACCGGGTTTATTTATGACATTCATGTTCATAAAAAGACACAGCGGATTTCTCACTCAAAGCGATGTGCTCCGGGCTCCAGGCATGTCTCACAAACGGGGTTATGGGGGAAAAAAGGAAAACAAATGAAAGCCCTGAAGGTCAGTCACGTGCGGATGGATTGCCTCAGAAGGTCAACATTCCCTTTATTCTTCACCACAAGAAACCAACGTTGCAACTTAACTCTCTGCTCTCACCGACGCCGCCGCCAGCCTCCGACGGCGGTCGTCTCTTCCACACAACAACGCACGTACAAATCGAAGGCGTCTTTCTAGGCAGCGCGTGTCGTCTGAAAAACCCTCTCGTCGAAATGTTGGCAGACTTCATTTTGCTGCGAAGAGGCAAAACAAGGGTGTGCGAGGCCGATGATTTACAAAGGTCACGGCCGTGATAGCTTTTCAGCCACACCAGCTCACGGAGCTCACTCACCGTAGGGGTCAATGAGGGCGATGGGGGAAGAGGAAGACGTTTTCATTACTAGAAACTCACAAAGCATATTTTTGTTTCCCTCACTACTGTGCTGTGCACACTGAATATTGTCTTGTGGCTTGATCATTTTGTTCCTTTGTTCAGATCAAATCGAGAATGCCAAATAGACCAGCATCACCGCAACCAGTGCCAATACTGTCGGCTGAAGAAATGTTTCCGTGTGGGAATGCGCAAAGAAGGTATCAAAGCTCTGCCATCCATTGCACAGCAGGTCAAGAGTAGAACTACTTTTTTATTGTCTAAGTTATTGTTGTACTTTTAGGTTTCACAGTGATGGAAGATCCTTTACAGCTGTTATTTTTGTATTAACCTTCCTGACTATTTGTAATGTGGTGAAAAACATAACTTTTATCTGGTTCCCTTCCCATCAGCTCAAAGGACAATTTAGCATTTTTCAGCTCACAGTGTTCAGACAGACACAGTTTGTGACCAAATAGCGAGAATTGCAGTCAGCAAATGACGGATATTTCCCTCAGGAGTTGGTGGAGACTGCGGTAATACCGTATGTCAGTGTTATGTTTACGGCATTAAGGCATTCAAAGTATTGACAATACACTACTTTGTTGTTGGGAAGGATTGATCACAACAGCATTTCTTATCTGGGTGGCATCGGAGCAAATTTAATTATGTTTAATTTGGTTTAACCCAAAATGTCACATCACAAAGGGCTTTAGAATCTGTACACACACGACATCCTGTGGTGACGTACCCTCACACCGGAACACGAAACCCCTCCCCTCTCCCCCCAAGCCAGTTTTATATATGCTGTATTTAAACTTTAATTAATTTCTTAATTTCTTTCTTTCTAAAATAACTGCAGCTGTCAAATAAATGCAGGGTAAATAAACATGTAAAAGATTTACTTCAGCGCAGTACTTAAGTACATGTACAAAGCCACTTTCCAGCACTGAGGTTTAATTCCTCTGCTTCACATACCAACAAATGGCCTGATTCATGTTCAAAAAACCTTCAGTAAAGCATAAATGCCCAGAAACGGACATGAAAAACAAAGATCTGCAGAGAAAAAGGCTTATTTCAACAGAAAAAGCCACCAACATTTGCCAGTGTTTTAAGCAAAATATTTACACAGTCAACCGAATCATGTTGTCGCCCCGTAGCTCCAGGCTGACGAAACAAGAAAGAGGCATTTCAGTCCCTCATTATGTGTTGATTGATATCCATTATAATATGCTTAATTTTTGCAAGGCTGATCGGTATTAAAAACAGATGATTCTCTTTTTCCCCGGTGCACCTATTTTCATTCCAGCAATCCAACCCTCATTATCACATCACAAACTATTTAAAAAGCGTTTGCAATTGTACTCGCGTTGTTTATTACCGCTCTTGTATTTCAGTCAGTGTCAGTGGACACCACGAGCCTCTGTGCCATACATAATGTACAGTCTGCCAGGGGTTATATTGAGCCTGGTTATTAATGAACCACGCTGACCTCGGGCCCATGACGCAGGCGCAACTGTTTCCACATCAGATTCCACATCAGATGGCAACGTCTGTACTCCTGTAACCCTGTAACACGCTCGCTCTGTTAAGTGAGATTTACGCATTTGAAACAATTCATTAATATTCAAAACATCCAGAGTGTGTTTATTGAAGTTTGGTTCAGGGAGAGCAGCTGTCCATTAACCTCAGACACAGCACTTAGATCAAGATGTCGACCATAAATTAAAATCAATTAGGACTTCAAACGAGGGCATTAATCTCGGAATTTATTCTGCTATTTATTCAGTAACATGATTGTATTGCTAAAATGATTCTGATGAAACCTTATTTTTGCTTTATTACATAATATCATCTTGATGCTGTCACAAAGTTCACACAGGAAATTCAAACATCTTTTTGGACATATTGTTTCTGTCCACAAAAAAATAATAATATAATTTAAATACAAAGAATTTAAGGAAAAACGCATGTCTAATATAACGTTCAAAACCTTGTCAGAGAGCTTTGAATGTTTTTTACAAATGATTTTCAGATGACAGAATGAAACATTCATATTTCACACATTTTACTTCAGAAATGTCGATTTCTACAACCTTCAAATCCTATTTTAAACTAAACAGACGACAAGACGACGGCCTGTTTCTCAGAAAGCACACGTACCTCCAGCAGGATGTGCAGATCCTCATTCTGTCGTCCGTTATTTTGCAGCAGTCCAGAGAGGTCGAATCCCTCCATCTCACTCAGGTGTCAGTCCCAACTCCCTGGCCGGTGGGGTCGGAGGCGCGGGGCCCGGGCACATTGGGGCGGACTTCTTCAACGGGCAGCCCGTGTCGGAGCTCATCTCCCAGCTCCTCCGCGCTGAGCCGTACCCCAGCAGCCGCTACGTGAACCCGTACGGTCAGGCCCAGATGCAGGCATCTGCCAGCGGAGCCTCCGTCATGGGCATCGACAGCATCTGCGAGCTGGCTGCGCGGCTTCTCTTCAGCACCATCGAGTGGGCCAGGAACATCCCGTACTTTCCAGAACTTCCGGTCTCAGAGCAGGCGAGTCGAGATGTTCAGTGCCTTGTGACTTTTGGTTTTTCTGAACCACGTTACGGTTTCAGTGCATATCACAGCAAAACCTCCGGTTTACGTGACAAAAACATTGACTTCATTCTTTCTCATCCCTTTACTTTACATGTAGCACTACGATTTTTCTTTATCTACGATTTCTCTTTATCTTTGGTAGTCTTCACCTCTAGATATTTAATAAAAACACATGTAAAAATAATGCCATTATTCAGGGCTGAATTCCATTTAGCGGCTTTAGGCTCCTTGGCATACCGGGTCCCCTTTGCATATGACTCAATTTTGAGACTTGAATACAAGAGAGCCATTGTAAATGTTACCAGTAACAACTGATTTTTTCCTTTGTTGAATAACTCTACAGGTGGCGCTGCTGAGGCTGAGCTGGAGTGAGCTCTTCATTCTGAACGCAGCACAGTCTGCTCTGCCCCTGCACATGGCTCCTCTGCTGGCAGCTGCCGGGTTCCACTCGTCTCCCATGTCCGCTGAACGTGTGGTGTCCTTCATGGACCAGGTCAGGGTTTTCCAGGACCAAGTGGACAAGCTGAACAGACTGCAGGTGGACTCAGCCGAGTACAGCTGCCTCAAAGCTATTGCCCTCTTTTCACCTGGTATGTCTGGTTTTGTGACAAGGCTATCTGGGCAATCCAAGCTCATATAACTGGATGTCTTTGCTGCTGTAAACTGATCTCATGGGTCTTTGAAGTCGACCAACACAAAACTGTCTGTATGATGTATTAGTCATGGTCTCGTTTTCTGGGCCAGTAAGACATTGAATCCCATGTGGCTTTAGGGCTCCTTTGACTTGAGTGAATGTGACCTCTGACCTCACCGAAGCAGGAACAAAAAGAGATGATTTCCTGTAAATGAAGAGTTTGACATGTTATTCACTTGCCATGAGTAATATGTAAAGGTGGTTTCAACTTCTAAGCCCATTGAATTTAAAGCTACAGTGAGCCAGTTAGCTTAGCTTAGCATAGATTCTGGAAACATGTTATATCTTGTTTGTTCTTCTCCTTAAAAAAAAATCAGTCAAACAAAGCTGTGGGTTAACAGAGGGTTATATGACTATTTTGGCAAAGTGCAATAACTTTTTTAATGATGCTGGTATGCAGATTTTACTACCATTGGACAGCTTGCAAGCTGTAGCTTAATATTTGTAAAGGTGGGATCTTCTCAAACAAGAAAGCATTTCATCATACTTTCCCAAAGATATAGAACTATCCCTTTTAAAGGAACCAAAATTGTAAGTAAAGGAACAGGAAATTAAGAGGAACTTAAAATTAAAAATGACTTAATAATAAAGAAGCATATAATAGAAAATATGCAAAAATGTAGCAAAAGAAAAAAATCTAATGTTGATATTCCTGTTTTCCAGATGCGTGCGGCCTGACAGACCCTGCCCATGTAGACTCCCTACAGGAGAAGGCACAGGTGGCCCTGACGGAGTACGAGAGGTTGCAGTACCCCAACCAGCCTCAGCGCTTTGGCCGCCTGCTGCTGCGCCTGCCGGCTCTGCGGGCCGTGCCGGCCAACCTCATCTCCCAACTCTTCTTCATGCGCCTAGTGGGCAAGACCCCCATCGAGACGCTGATTCGAGACATGCAGCTTTCGGGGAGCTCCATCAGCTGGCCGTACGTACCGGGACAGTGAATCCAGCTGACACCGGAGGGAGGCAAACTGAGATAAGCTTTGATCCAGAGCTCACAAAGATGGCATATTAGGTACAAACTGAATGTTGTGAATACAAACAGATACACACACACACACACACACGCGCGCGTATGTATGTATGTATGATTGCAGCACTTGTCGGTTTTGCTCTGACCTCCATCCGATCTCTCTCCATCTGATACTGGAAAAGAAACACAGGGCTTTAATTAAACATCAGGCTCTAATATGAAGCCATGTGCCTGTACTACCTCTTCCCACATCATCCCTAATGTGACTCGATTTGAACACTCTGTGTTTTCACTCTGCTTCGTTTAAAATGAAGCCAAAGCAGCAGTGGGACTTTTACAGGCACAGTTTCATATCTGGGACGTGTTGTTCAAATCAAACTAAGTTGTTCAACGTTTTATCTGTGGAATGGAATCTAAGACTTTGTTACCAAATGTATTTGTGTAAAGACTGAAAAGTACAAACCATCTACGGCATTAAAACAAAGAAGAGGCATGGGCATTGTATTGCATATTATACTATATGACGTACTTTGTACATAAAACATTTCTTTGTTTTGTACCTAAACGAAAAGTTTAACATTTTGGGAACTACACCAATTTACTTGCATAATTAGAAGATGCGGTTTATTGCAGTAACACTTGTGCATAAAGACTGGGAACAGGGTAAATCAGCTAGTCTGGTTCTGTTCAAAGAAAACAAAATCACTGCGCTAGCACCTCTAATCTCTAACTACTCCGCTGTATTCTTTGTTTAATCTAAACCTGAGTTGGAAAAACAACATTTATGGGGTTACGTGCTGGACTATTGCTATAACCTTCTGTAGTCTCCTCTGGTTGCAGCAGCTTGGCAAATAGAAAAAAGCACAAAAGTATGAATGGTGCGTCCCAAAATGTTAGTGCTTTTTATTTATTTTGGTATATTTTACATTATAGTTCTTGCAACAGGAAGTGGGGAATGTACTCAAACACACTTGGCTCCTCAGACAGTCACACCCTTCAATAACATTATTACCTCATATTTTATACATCAAAGACAGATATTCTATATTAATGTGCTAATCATAAATATAAAGGGATCAAGGTGTCTTGGCATTGAAACCGTAAACACTAAAATTCCCCTGTATACCTGTCTGTCAATATATTTGAGTATATTTCACAATGTAAGACACTCAAAGTTTGCCAAATCATTTACAGGAAGCTACACTTTGTCAAGTGAACTCTGTTTCTCTCGTTAATCTCAGCAAACTGGAGATTTTTGTTCACATTCTGGTCCCCCTTTTAAAAGCAGTGTGAAAGCACACGCTAAAGAGGACAGAGGTCACTTTCAGATAATTATTATGCTTGTGCAAGGTGCTCTGTATGTTTTAAAGTGTTGTAAAGTTGATTATGTTTGTTGGTACTGAGATAAAAGGGGACTATGCAGTCATGTTCACCAACGTGACCAATGCTTTTCTTGCCAACTTATCTGACTGAAAGAAAAGACAGGGGGACAACATGTGTTTTTGGTAAAAAACGTTTTGTATTCCTAAAGAAAAAGACACGATCCCTGATGCCGTCAAGACCTTAATCAACAGCTCTTCAGACTATTCTTGAATAAATAAAGCATGCATTGACCATGCTGTACCCAAAAAGTGAAAAGGAAGTTCATACGAATGCTTATTTTTGCATTACGAGAAATAAAATAAAAAATGTACAAACTCTCTGGATGACTCTGTGGATGACTGAAGTCTTTGAGACATTAAGACACTGCACACATCTGTAAAAAAGTGGTTGGTCAAAAAGAAAAAGTTGTCCAATCAAGTCAAATTATCAAATTTAACAGGACAAATTAAAACATATTATAAATAAACATTTTTTCCAACTTGAAAATATTAAGATTCTGCTTTTCTGTGCTTCATATTATTTTTAAATCCAATATGTTTTGGACTGTTGGTCAGACATGGTGAATGGCAAACAAATGTTAGGTTATTTTATAATGAAAATGCTTTATTTAGCTCTTTATTGGGGATATGCATTTGTATTAAAATGTTTAAAAAGTTAATTTAATGTATACAGCTCAATATCAAACATGCCTCATGGGGCTTCAAAGTCGGTACAGTAAACGACATCTTCTGTCTTCTGAGACACTCGTCTTGGAAAAAAGAAAAGATCTCCCAAAATGAACCTGGAGAATGGAGGAAGGATCCCTCTTCAGGGACAGAAGCACATTTAATAAATGTTTGTGCAGAAAAACACAATTTTAGATTCAGTGTAAATATAGTGGAAAATACATGATGCTGTTGAGAAACCTCAGTTAGAGAGATCAATGAGAGAGAGCGTACGCATTAAAAAGTATAATATATTAGGAAAATAATCTGCCAATGAAGTAGTTTACCAAAAGAGGGCAGCAACAGCTTACCTTTGGCTGACGGTGGCTCGGTCCCGGTTCCCTGGAGTCATCCTGCTCTCCCTGCTGGACGCTCAGTGCAGATACACAAAGCTGCAGCTGTCTGCAAATCACCAGGGTCAACGAAACATGTAAAACGTAAAAAAATAGACTGGTGCATCTCATTATAAGAGAATTAGAAATGTTTATTATTATTGAACTTTTTAGACATCATACCTTTTGGAAGTATACAGTTACAAAAAATGGTCTTATAATAGCATGGAAGACAATAAATTCGTACAAAAATAAATGGCTCGCAAAGGGTTTGTAAAATGACAACATTGTTCTTCGTAAAAATGCAAATGAATGAGAAATCAAAAGTGTGTCTGAATAATTAAAACATTATAACATCCACTAGATCCTAACACTTTGCACAAGAAAATTAAAACACACGGAATTAGCAGGTGATCGTTTTTCATTGGCAAAGAATCAAATGAAAAGATGAATGAAGCTTATAGACAATGATACAGTGTTTTCCAGTTTGTTGAGGAGCTTGCATGATAACAAACATTATATTAAGTAGTCAGGATTTTTCAAGCTATTTGCATAGCTTAAAATATATATTATTGTATAGTATGTGCAAATAACAGAACTAAGATATCCTCTGAATCTAATTTGTTCTTGGTACGTAGTATGAAAAGAATTTATTAAAAGAATATATAAAACAACAATGTCTCGCGTATCTCACTGCGTGACTTTGTCCTGTTTTTGGTCTCAATGCATTAATGTCAATCAGTGTAAAAATATTGGTTTAGACCAAAAAAAATAAAAACACAGAGGGCAGTTTTTAAACTTTACCGATGTTAAAATATATTACAAACACCGACGGCAAAAATTAGAAAAGCACAACTAAAAATGTTGCTCCCAAAACAATCCCAGCAACCCGTCTCACCAACGACTACGTTCTCTACAATACTGTTCCACCGCTTATCTGTGGAGATAAAGCAATGAAAGGTTGGAGAGCAAACAGAGCCACGGAAACCAAGCACAACGTTATCACAGGTGAGTGAAGGTCAGGTGACCTTTATCCAAACCACACCCTCTGGTCCACACAAGTGGGTCAATACTGCCGACTGACGCATGAGAGTAAAGGCAGTGTTTGCTGTGGAAGTGGCTTCAGCTCAGCACGCTGCTTCCATTTTCCTCCAAAAAGAGTAGTAGTATTTATATCTGATGCTGTCTATGCGTATGTGTGTGTGTGTGTGTGTGTGTGTGTGTGTGTGTGTGTGGGGAAGAAGTAACTTTGGTCTTGGCATGTCACGGTGTTTGTGGTGTTACGGAGTGTACGGTGGTGTGTGTCTGTGGAACACAGAGCTCAGTGTCAGGACTCAATGGGTTCATCGGTCCATCAGTGCTTCTTGTCGTAATCCTTCACTATGCGTTTGATGTGGAACAGCTTGTGTCTCAGCCTGCGACACTCTTTCTTCTTGGACCGGTAGTCGGACGTCTTCGGAGCAGAGAGAACACCAGAGGAGTCGGTTAATAGTGTTAAACAGTACAGTGCATGAGATATTTATCAATTCTGACAATGACAATGATTGATCTTCTGCTCAAAAGATTTTTAAATAAAAAGCTCCATGAGACTGTCAGGGAAAGAAGAAAGAAGTTTTATGTGTCAAAGGATCCTATAAAAAATGAATGTGGTGACATTTTGGAGCTGTGTGTTAACTTCATTTAAAAAAAATAATTGCAATATATTTTTAATGAAGTCTGCTTTATAAAAAGTATTGTCAGAGATATCGGCTCACCTGCTTCAGATCCTTCAACTGATTGTATTCATCTGCTACGCCCTATGGAAAATGAGGGAGAAACATTTCTTTAGGATTCTGTGTCTGTAACAATGTTTAAAGAATCACATCTTTTCCCGTTTTACATTTGTTTTGTGCACGCAGGACCTTGATGATCAGAGAGTTTGGTCTTTATGTGTCGATGTCTTTGCAATGTTTAATTGCATCTCTTGGATGCTGTAAATAACATTGATAGAGGACAGATGACTGAGATGTTTCAACAACAACCCAAGACAAGGTCAAATACATTGGATAGGATATCTAGTTCAACTACTCAGTGCAGTGACTCAACAACTGATAATTATAATCATGCCAGAAGTTATGGGTGCATCTAAATTCACTTTAACAATGTGTAAAACTTCAGCACATTCAGTACATTTCTATATAAATGTGAACTGTTGAGCTGGCAATTTGATGTAACGTCAATCAGCAGTGCCACAGTTAGGACTTAGTATTACGCAATAATTAATACAATACTGTATTATTCATTTAGAATTCTTGCAAAGAAAACATTACAAACACATTTAATGAAAAAGAATGACGTATCATACACCCACATCTGATACTAGTATGGAACAAATTTCAGCATACGACAGCAGCAAAAAGTAGATCGCTGATCTTAATTTAAGTTACAGTGAAAAGGGATTATCTCGCGTGTTGCATTCCTGATTCGTAACTAAGGCTCATACATTCTCCTGAGTTTAGGTGGTAAGCACTGCATTAATCTGACCTGGTATTTGGCGGAGGTGTGATCCAGTGTGTCCAGCAGCCGGCTGAGTTTGTTCAACTGGTCATTAATGTCGTCCATCTCAGTACACAGGCGCTTGTATTCTCGTAGATCCACGTCAAACTCTCTCTTATAGTCTTGACGCTGAGCATCAGATGTTATATCTGGGTACGTACTGGAGGAAGAGGAGGAAGGAAGATAGAGATAAACCTCATCTAAAGCACCTTCTGCATGCAAACATCACAGCGTATGAGGGACCTCTGGAACGCAAAAGTCAATGAGGAATAGTGTAGGTGCTGTTCAATACTGCTGTGTTAGTCCGGTTGATCGAGCCACAGTAAAATATAACTGCTTTCCACTAAACTACAACAACACCCATGCTTTGTACCTTTGGCCCAATTCTCATTATTCCCGCGACCCATGTGAACTTGAATGCCTCAGAGGATTAAGGACTCCTGGACAGAGAGAAGCGCATAAAGACCAAAGCCTTTTCCAAGCTTTGCTGTTTGAGCATCTGTTTATTTACTGTTCTGTACTTCTATCTAAAAGATGTACGAGCTGCATGTTCCTGCAAATCATGTCCCACTGATGTGGGCTGATTTCATGAGATTACAGTTATTGATTTAAATCCAAGAATTTGGGTCTGGTCCTGAGGGAGAAACTGCAATCAGCATTCGTTGTTCCGAGAGAGGAAACATTTCGTTTTTTAATCCGTACAAAGCATGCTTACTTCTCCCACTCTTCTCCATCCAGTTCATTGCCCGTTTCTCCTCCTGTGGTGTACTCCGTCTCATACTGAGACTCATCCAGCTCGGGGTTACGTCGGCGTCTCTTGCCCCGGTTGGCTGAGGGCTTGCGACCGCCGCCGGTCTCATCTGACGGGCTAGAGCTGGTTCTTCCACCGTGGGAGAAGGCTTCTGATGGTCTGCTGGTGGTCCTGTCCGAGTACCTGCAGGACAGCAACAGAGAAATGGGAGATTCTGTAATGATCGGCTTCCACTGGGGCCATGAATGAGAAACCATTTTTCATGAAAATAGCGTTACAGTAAACCACAAGTTAAAGAGGTTACTGAAACCCCCCCATTCCCTGAGGAAATTGTGCCCTTGATCAAAAATAACACAACCATGACTCAAATAACACCAGGAACTTTATTTAAAGGTCTAATTAGAACTTTATTTAAAGGTCTAATGTGAGACAATGTCAAGAAAATAAATAGTAACCGATATGATCCAGACAGATAACATACTGAGGAAGTTAGACCCTTTCAACCACTGAGGATTATTGTTTCTTAAACCCTACAAGTCGCTTTAGTGCCACAGGAACGTCCTTCAGTGACCAGAACGCAGGTATAGAGCTTAAATCACGGCTGAGAGGAAATGCTCAACGCTCATTTGTTTCTGGGGATTTGCAGAGGAATCCAAATCCAGCAGCGCAGACACTTCTTGAAAAAAACCTGTCAACAAAAGAACTCCAACATTCTTCCAGTGTGGAGGATAGTAATGCAAATAGCGTTAAAGAAAAGGCAAGTACTTGGTCAAGGACATCCTGCCTTTTCTGGTCTAAGAGATTTCAAAGAACATGAGGAAAAAACAGGACAGCGATCCTATAGGAGCTCAAAGTTCACACACACAGCTTTTTTATGGGCTTTAAAACAGCAGTGATTAGATATCGCTTTATTGTTCATGTGGAATCTTTGCTTTACAGTGGATAGAGTTAAATGTTGCAGCTACTATCTTTTCTGAAATTGTATCTATTCATCCATCTATCGATCTAAATAGTGAGCTTATGCATTTCTCCATCTATCAATGTCTCCATTCTACGTATACGTCCATCTATGTACTGATCTATTCACCTAACCAGCTTTGTATCTTTGTATCTACCCATTTTTCTATGTATCCATCAATCCAGCTATGTGTATGTATGTATCTATCCATCTATCTATACAAACGTCTCTATGTTGTAAAAAGAATATATCTGTCGTAGAAATATTTTTGATGACTCCTCTTGAATTCTGGGGCTTAAATCAGCCGAAATAAACTTCATCCACCACGTATGTATAATTCTATAGTCTGAGCTGAAGAGGGGGCTGAAGCCACGGTTACCCACTCTTTATTGTCGTAGGTGTCCTCATTGTAGGAGCTGCTGTCCACCCTGGCCGGGGGGAAGGAGATGACACTGTTTGCTGAGGCGTTGAGCAGCCCGGCTCCCTTCTCGGACACCAGCAGGGTCGGGGTGTCTTCAGCACTGCGGCTTTCCTCCACATTGTTCACCTACAGCAGTCAGGAAACAGAAGAAACGGACTGAGCGAACACAAACAAACCACTGGAGCGCTCACAAAGAAAAGGCTACAGACTTCTGTTTTTGACTGGCATCCTGTGAAAGAAACCATTATTTTTCTCCTTGAAAGAAGTCGGGTGTGTAATTGTACAGCACAGACCAAGTCCTCAAATGGAGGTTATCTGTTCGGTTCACTGTGCTTTAAACGGGCAAGACAAGAAAAACAAAGGATGAAAGCTTTTTGAAAAATAAACCCAATACAATAAATAAAACAAAAATACCATTAATGGCCTTTTGTTTGCAGCATTTCTTTAAGATTGTTTCTAAAAGCTGTATAGCTTCACAAGAGTGCACATAATTGAGGATATAATATAAACACCGAAAGTATCTGGCAATAATTGAATGATGTCTTCATTGACACCTGGGACGGATGTGTTCGTCCTTTCGGTCTCCAAAAAAGTCTGTTGTGTAAATAAATTCCCCTTTGTCTTTATTTCCTTTCCTAAGTCCTTCCTGTGAGTTCAGACAGCGTGCATGAGGGAATTCCTCACAATGAAACCTCACAGGGGGGTTACTATTTCCCCCAACGGTTCCAGTAAACATGTTAATAATTTGTACAGCATCAACACAGTCTTACGTCTTCTCTGCTATGAGGAGGACTAACTGCCTTTGTCACTGAGCCTTTGGCTGTTTTTTTTAATGTGATCACACAAAGAGGAAGTGAGGCCCATGTCATCGACTTCTAACACCACATAGCACTGAAAATGCGCGTGACGAATTGAGTTCCTTTGAAATAAGACATCTAACATCTAGTGTACCTGCAGAAGAGGGCATTTGTGTCCGCTGTTCTTTTCTATAATTCACTTCACAACCAGGAATGTACTCCTCTGACTTTATACAACCCCATAAAAACATTCACCCTTCTGCTTACTTGGGCGGTGCATTACTGAGCATCAGCCTAGCCCCCGAAAAACAATAATCATGGTGGGTGGAGTACATGCAGCTGCAGCAGAATCCTATTTGAAGACTGCATTACATGCAAGAATCCCAGCAATGCCCTCTGAGGGTGCAGCAGAGCTGCTGCTGGGCTGTAAACAGTGAGTGTGAGCAAAGTAACCTGGACCTGGTGTAAAGCAGCAGGAAGTCAAAGATGGAGAGAGTCAGCAAGACCAAGCTGTGGATATAGATGTGGAAAGAAAGGAGCAAAGCAAAGTGACATAGAAAGCGAGGAAGAAGTGCTTGTGTGATAAAAGGAGAAGGAGAAGGGTGAAGAACGTTTGTCAACGTATTCAACGTTTTATTGAGCAGCAGCGCCTGACATTTAAAATAGAAAATGCAATGACTGTAATTTTCTCAAGAGCACGCTGGACTTTGGATCTGTGAGGACGAATCACGTGAGGTGTATATAAGCAGCTTAATTTGTGAACCGTAGCTGTAGGTTGTCTTATGAAGAAACATGTGCTTGATGCTATGGAGATAATAAAAACGCTCCCAAAATTCATTTTGATTAAAAAAAGGAAATCATGAGGTCATCAAAACGGAAATCCTTGTTGAATAGACAATTGGTGAAAGTAGTTGCATTAACAGCACTATTAAAAAGCATTATAACCCAAAGCATTATTAAGGGCCAAACAATAACGCCACAAAGACCAGGCATTCGACTTTGAATAAATTATTTACAAGCAATGTGTGGCGGTTAGAACCTTAATTTTAGCACAAAACATAAAGAAATGAACTAACATTATCAACAGGATGTGAAGTAGTAGCAGTTCTGACATTATGTCAAATATATTCACTCTGCTCTCACTCTTACGAAAGAGGACAAAGACGTAGAACTGCACCAAGAGAGCTTGTCATCCACGCCGGGGTACAGGATTGGTGTACTTTTGTATATTGGATTAAAACACGCGGTCAGGTCTAACGCATAGCACCTCTGATGTCTCCAACGTGTAACGTTTTAACAATCTTAAACAACACTCACTCTCAATTTGGAGGTACGACACCTATGATGCTCTTACTCTCAGCTTTCTGGCACACTGACAGGCCTGCAGAGACTGACTCTGATGACCTCATGCGGCAGCTGAATGAAGCCAGTGTGTGAGGTCATCAGAGCATGCCAGGCCTCCCTGAGCTCAGCATCAGAGACGTGTCCAATCTCAAACCAACCACAGCCTAAGACCGTCACTGGCCTTGTGTTTAAGGGAGTCCAGCAAACCCGATGAGTCATTTCGTGCAGCTAGCGCATCAACAAAGAAAATGAGAAACTGCTGCGTGAGACAAATATGAGTGGAATTAGTTTAATTCTACCACACTAAGATACGCGGTTTATTGCTGAACAATAAAATAAGTAATTATAGATAAGAAAATCATCAAAAGTAGGTATGATAATATGCAGAAAGACATTCTTTCTTTGACTGACTATTTTGAAAGACAATCACATCTTCCACCAACTATCAAGAATGATCAAACTTCTAAACGCAGTGTAGACGCCATTACTGCTCCACAAACAGGCCAATGCAATCAGTGAGCACGGCTAAAATAGCAATATTAGTTTTGTTCAATATTTTTTCAAAAATTTGGCTTTTGTCTGTTTATTTGTATTTCTTTCAGCCATGTGTCTACACTCCTGACACTCCAGTACATTTTTAAAACAAATTGAATGTGGACTTAATGTGTTGGGGGGGATGCTGACTACTGGAACTCGGCTGCCCTGTCGGTATTATTAATGACCATCAATTACAATTTAAACCTGAGCTGTTGATGTGAACTCATTGTCATTCGCTGTATGAAACAGGCACCATTTGAAAAGTGGCAGGTCGAGTCAATAATCAACCCATATCTCTCATGTCTCGGGTCTCATGTGACTGGTGCGGTGTTGACGCTTAAAAACCCTGAAGGCCGTCCCTCTAGAAACCGCCTGCTTGCTTATTATCTTCTCCGGTGGTTAATTATTATTCAGAGTGAAACCAGGTAGTCGAGCATGAGCAAACAATCCCTGACCCCCAGCAAAGTGACTCAGTCGGAGGGAACACGGTTACGGCAGAGTGACCATTTCCCTGCTGCGGCCTGTGAACTCATGAATATCCGTACATGTACTTTGCGCTCAAACAATTAAACGTAAGAGTTTTTACTAGTAAACAACATCTGGACACGTTGTGTCACACAACAAGCGACAAACCAACTTTGGTCACGTGCAACTCTATTTTACTGCATCACCACCATCACCTGGCGTATCTTTATAACTGATGACTGCGTCAGGAGAGGAATACTTCACTGGCCACCGACCTCCCTCACCTACTTTACATCAGCGCTGGCAGAAAGTCAGTGTTTCCTAAAAGATTAGATCCCGTCTCTGCTGTTTGCTGTCTGGGGAATGTCTGCACGTGTCAGTAGTTTTTCTTTGTAACTGTCGGCTAAATGAAAATAACTGGTGTGCATCCGATTTCTTAAATTGTATTATTGAATGTTATGTATATTGTATTTATCCACCACATAATTAGACAAGGAATTTAGTTAAAATGAAAGACGGAACCTGGGAAAAAAGAAGCCTGATTTGATCCGGTGTGATCTAAACGCCAAATGTTGTCTAGTTCCATCCTCTAATCAAATCCGTCTGGGAATATTGTATTCTATCATCTTTCTTGAGGCTGGATTCAAATCCGCTGTGATCCTCTTGTGTTCATTTGACTGCAAGCTGTGCGTGATCAAACTCGGGGGTCAGCTGGGTCAGAAATGTGATTTTTCTTTGTAAATCCCATGTAAACCCACTCTTATTAAACTGTGACCAGCGTCCTGTTGTCTCTTACCCATTCCTCCACGTCTCTGCCTTCTGAGGCTTTCCCGCCCGCCAGAGGCTCCTGCCAGTAGATATTCGGTTTACCGTAGCGCCAGATCTTCCCTCTTGTTTTGTGCGCAAAGAAAGCCGCAACTCCGAAGGCAATGACCACCAGGAACCCGCACGCCATCGCAATCCCCTAGAAAACCAGGAACAGGAGCATAAAATCTGTGACTTCATTCAGCAAAATACACATGACCATTTGTAAATTACACTACTGCATAATAACATCATATGTGATAATATGTGAATATGCTTTACGGGTACACAAGTAAACACAAAAAATTCCAACTAGATTAATTTTATGAGCACAAACCTAATCATTAACAACATGCAATCTGAAAATGAATTATTAATTAATTGAATAAAAAACAATGTCAAACATTGTAACACATGTTGCAGCTCCAGAAATGTCAGGATTTGCTGTCTAATATTACTGAATATTGAGTATATTTGTGTTTCTGGCTGTATTTCAGACAGAGTAGTTAGTTGATAATGTTTTGTGGCCTTGACTACTTATCCAATTTAAAATAACTTCCAAATTGACATTTTATTTAATAAATACAGCCTGATCAATTAAATCCTGTTTTAAATATTCAAACGACTCCACTGTTAGTCACTTTATTTGTACACACCTCCTGTGGGTCAACAAAGCAGTAGTGGTAGAGATACTGGTTGTAAATGGGGAAGCCTCCCACTCCTCCCATCTGTGAGTAGGAGGTCTGGTAGAGGTTCTGGCACATCATCAACATGGGATTGTACATCATACTGGAGGTGCCCTGGGCCATGGGGTTCACCCCAACAATGTAGACGATGCTGATGATGCCCTGCAACAAACCATTGAGAACAATGAACACCAAAAACACACATATGAATGTGTGATCATGCAGGAAGGAGATGCTGATGTATTTCACGCTTCCTGTTAGACACTAACAGTGTAGAACCATTAATGGACCTTAACAGGTCAACAATCTGTGTGATGCTGCGTCTGTACCAGGTAGGCAGGTAAATCTATCCCATTTTAACGACTTGAGTACATTCATCCTGCATCTTAGTTGGATGATGATAACTTATCTAACCTGTTTTAGATAGGAAGTATTTATGGATATTTACTACAGAGCTGACAGACTTTGACTTCCCATTTTACTACAATGTCAAAAAATAAAATAAAATAAAAGACAAACAACTGTGGATATTTTAGGTTTGGGAAAATCAGTAAAGCCGAATTTGACAAACCGTAACTGATCTAAAGTTATCTAAAGTATGTTCTACTCAAAATTGGGATTTCTGTAATATTTTGCTACAAGATGAATCTAATGCCTCAAACGATTGGCACAGTCATGTTCATGTTTGCTCAATATTACGAGACTTCATAGTCTTACCTGCAGGACACCCATAATGATGCTGCCTATCATGACGGCCAGAAAGAACTTCCTACTGTGCACCGTGTCGGATTTAGAGAAGGTGGCAATGAAGAAGACCAGCGCCCCTACGAAGTTGATGGCTGCCATGGCAATCATGGTGGTTTTGGCCGAGTAAGGTGAGACGTAGGAGCCGTAGCTGTTGCCGTAGCCTCCTCCGTAACCACCGCCGTAACCTCCGTAGCCACCGTATCCGGAGCCGTAGCTACCGCCACCGTATCCGCTGCCCATTCCCATTCCCATTCCCATTCCCATTCCCATTCCATACTGCATGTCCCACATCAGCGTCGAGGCAACGCAGGCAAATATCGCCAGACACAAGACGATCACCGAAGCCATCATGGCCTTGATGATCCCCGGAGGCGACAGCCATTTGTAGAAGTGCTGCGGTTTGTCCTCGATGTAGTAGGATCCCGGGGGAGGAGGGTAGGCGTTGTAATCGCTGTGAGGGCCACGGAAGCTGCCGCCGGGACCAAAGCCGTTGTTGGACGGCGAGCTGAAGGGAGGACTGTAGACGGGTGGACTCTCGTAGTGCTGCTTGTCAAACATCGCTCAACGATGTCCCGAAACTGCGGGCAAAAACGAACAAAACAAAAAGCGTTTGTGGAGGGCAGAGAGGGGAGTGTAGGATTTGTCCTTCTCTGATTTCCCGTGGCGCTGATATGAGTATCGCTGCGTGCAGATATGGAAGTTAGGCGTGACCGTCTTTAGTGGCAGAACAATGTCAATGTTTTACCATTTCAAAGAGGGTGATTTATGAGGCCCGATGGAGCAACTGCTTATTGCCGTCAGGCTGCTTATTGCCGTCAGGGCGAGGAAGGTTTTACGGATAACCAGAAGTCCAGACATTAGCATATTATAAACAAACCTAGAACTGCTAATATATATAAATATTAGAAGGACGGCCTTAAGCTTTGATGTTGGTGAAGCAGCAGGGTCAGGATCCGTGTGGAGATGTCAGTACCAGGACAGGGAGGGCGGCCAAACAACAATACTTTCCTGTTTGCCTCCTCACAGAGTGGAGGAGTCTCGCTCCAGCCTCCACGATGTCCAGCCAGCTTTCAAACATTTCAACTCGCGCTAATCCACAAGGCACATTTTTCTTGTTTTCCCTTCTCGTTATAAATCCAACAAAGGGAACTCCAAGGCTACGGCGTATAGGACCTAACAATGACCCTCCTGTCTCCTGTCTCCTGCAGTTACACAGAGGGGCCGCCGACATGTTCTTCAGGGAAAAGGAATAAAAACATCGAACAAAGGTTCTGGAGAATTCTAATCTCAATAAAGGGTTTGACCAGAATGCTGAGTCCTTGTAGCAGACGACATAACAACAAGGGCAACAATTCATTAATCCAAGAGGTCAGGCTAACCATAACTCTTGTTAATTCATCTTTTTTTAGGGTGGGCGCCGCAACAACCATTTGTAACGCACCTCTCATTCAAAAGAGCCTCAAAGTGCCACAGAACCAGTACATTCCAATGAAAACAATGTTATTTACACATTTTATTTAAATGTTTCCAAAGTAACGTCCAGCGACACTGAGACACGGCGGGAGAGTACGATGCCGCAGGAACCATCCAAGCGTCTCCTGCTCGCCATCGCACGTCATAGCGGCTGTTAAAAAATGTGGAGACACATGAAGGGACAGAGAGACGTCCCCCCGGTCCACAGTAATAACTCTCTCTTCTTTATGGGACACTGCGGCAGAAGAAGTCTCGCCTCATGGCCTCCACCCAAGACACCTTCCATTATTCCTCCATCTCCTTCCTCCCCCACACAGTCCCTCTGGTCCGGAGACTCTCCTCCCCCCCCCTCCCTCCCTCCGCCGTCTCCCCCTCCCTCCATAACTCTTAGCCTTTGTTTTGGGAGGGGGAGGGGCAAAAGTCAAGGCTGCTCGTCACGGGAACAATGTTGCCATGGAGTCCGCGTAAAAAAAAAAAAGGAAAATTGGGGCAAGTGTCCAGGGAGGATCAAACAAGGGCTCCTCTGTGCCTCCACAGGCCGGGTGGAGCACAGGTGGATGTTGTGCACACGGTGTCAGGTGTCCTTTAATGTTGAAGTGGCCGTCTCCTAAGCCAGTGGGTCTTATAGTGGGGAAATTATACTAAGAGGGAGCAAATAATTGTAAGTTCCACCTCCATAGGAGCGAGATATGACTCTAGGAAAAGTACAACATGTTGAGGACAAAGTGTGTATTTGACAGATGCAGAGGAATCCAGAGCTTTAAAACCTTTGAATACTAAATCTTAAAACCCAAAACGTCTTTTCCACTGTCTTAAAGTAGGAATTTTCTAAATGGGGCATTTGACAGTAATGTGAGCTGTAATGATTAATGGTTTAACTCAAAACAATGTACAGGAATATGCTGCTTAGTCTTAGATGTAAAAAGCTTCTTTCTGTCTTTGGGTTTTGAACTGAAAACATTTGATGACATTAATTTGGGATATTGGACATTTTAGCTCAAGATAAAGATGTGATTTTGTCTTGCACATTGATTGTTAGAGCTCAATACCACAATGTTGCATCTGGGACGTTTGCTTTGCATTAAGGAAAGTTATTTTCGTCACAGATTAATCTGTTGACTACTTTTTCAAATGGCCAACTAGTTGTTTGGTCTGTACAATGTTAATGCCCGAGATGACCCTCCTCAAATGTCTTGTTTTGTCAACTGTCAAATAGGGGAAAGGAAACCAGAAATAGTTTTCTTAGCAAATTAATATTTGACAAATAATTGAACTATTTCCACCTAATCGCCCAATCTTTAAAAGTCTGTGGTGAAGCTTTTCTGTTGTCTACCAGCAGAGATTGTTGTTCTCTCACACTCAGTTGTAATAGTGTTGTTTGTCTAGAACTGGCACACGCGTTTTATTTTCATGCTGGGCAGAAAGCAGCGAGTCTGGAGCGCCGTCACAGGTCAGGTCAGACGCCCACCGGCCGCAGCCGGAGCTCCTCCACAACACAGAGGTTCTATCATCTGCGGCTGCTGATGGCATTCCAGTCTAACAGTCACATGTCTCACATCTTTCAAAACAATTAGGGCCGTGCCCGCTGCAGGCTGGGACCCACTGGCACACACACACACACACACACACACACAAGACTTCCTGCCCCCGAAAAACACCCCCCGCTGAAAAATACCTGAGAAAATGGATTAAGAGAAAAGAATCATGGAAAGAAACATGATGTGTATTCTGTTGCACGTGCTTTTGGTATTACTTTTCTTAATTGAGTGCAGGTTAACACACAAAACAGTTTGGGATTTGGACGAAACTTAATTTATAATATGGAGACTGTTGAGTAGTTGAAGGGAGTAATTATAACGAGGGGGGTTGTAATGCTGCTAAATCAACAGTGTGTTTTCTTCTATTAGTTTGTTTGTTATGAACCAAGTTGTAGAGACCCATGATCTTCAAACGCCACCTTGGTTGCAAGTCGTACGTTGTATGTCCTTGTGTTGACTTTATGGTTTGGTTGTACTTTTCATGCTCACAGGATTTTATTAATCATTATCAGTTTAAGCTTGGTGCACCTAATAAACACCTGAGTGTAACTAACAAGTCACGGCTATTAACAAAACCAAAACCTGATTAGTAATAATTATGCAGTTAAAGTAAATCTTTGAGTCAAATTGATGGAGGAAGCCTTTAATCTCACTGCACGGCGGAGCATTTACTGTGTTTTCATGACAGTAGAGGAAGAACTGCCGACGTCGGCGCTAAGCTGATCCCAACAAGGACCCGAGGCTGGTAATTAAGATGCTATTCGGTTTTAGGTCAACGAGTGATGAAAACGTGACGTGACGGGACATAAGTGGGCTGTACGGTTGTGTGTGTGCCTCCTGAAGTAAGTGCTGCAGGAATGATTCCTAAAGCCCGGAAATGAGAACAAATATTTGCACGTCCCCTCGTCTCCAAGTCAGTGGGTATTTTGAATGGGCTGAAGCTCAAGAGGTTTTCCTGCTTGTGAATGTTGAGGTTCTTCCCTGTGGTGAAAGAAGGGGGGTTTCTACCAAGCGGCTAATTGAGACAACACAATGTTATCAGACCTCTTGTGTTCTCCGCTGTAGTTAGTAGAAGGGCGGACCACTAATGGTCCACTCAGCATTAAAACACATGTCTCAGAAGCAGCTAGTGGACTGTTCACTTTCGTGTTGTTTCCTTCTGTCAATGTGTCAAATGGTATTAGTTCGTTTAAAATGGGAAAAACACTTGTTTTGCTGTTTGCTGCAGCTAGTTTTTCTGTTAAAAAGTCTTTGAGACCGATGCAAACCAAAGAACAACAACTGGTGGCAACTTTCTCAAAATGGTTGCCAGGGGGAAATGGTTAAAGAGGAGCCAGTTGTGCTATGAACACACACACACACACACACACACACACACACACACACACACATTTAACACACTTCACAATCATCATCACCACAAAACTTCAAAATAAAGGCTCACTATACATAAATACTGTTCCTTACAGGGGGAATGTTGAGGTCTTGATGGTTAATGCTTGGAAGCCAACGCTGTACTTTTTGCTCTGCGCCAAATATTACCAACTAATCGACTAAAACATCCTGATGTATCATTAAATAAAGCTGCAGGCGCCATGACACGTGGTGCAAACTAGTGTTGCCTTTGCGTTCACATTAGTGCATCATTCTACAGGATGATTACTTTTACGTTTGGTAATTAGTATATTTTTATACAGTGTGCTACTTTAACTCATGTAACAGATCTGAGTAACGTTTTCTTACTTTCTCCATCATTCCACACTTGATACAAATCTCATATTTTATTTAGACATATTAAGTCAGTTATCAAAGACTGGCACTTTGTCCTTGGTGTTGATTTTGTGGTATTTCTGGTGCAGCAGTGAGGTGATAACGTGATGACCTGTTTACTCGCAGGGAACAACTATGAATGTTTAGTTGTTACATTAAGCCGACCTGCTATTATTTATATCTAATGAACCTGTTGTGTGTTTTCTTGTGTTTTCTTACCTGAGGAGCGCCGGAGGAGTCTCTGTTCACGGTCCAAACTCGAACCTCTTCTGAGGAGTTTGCAACACTTGAGAAAAGAAGAATACGTCCGTCGGGAAATGAAGCGAGTGTTTAAAATAATATCAAAGTAAAGTTGTTGTTGTTGTTGTTGTGAGACTAAATGTGAACGTCGCCACTGCGCTTCGAGCTGCTGTCCCGGGCGGAGACAGACAACGGGCTCCTTCGCAGTCAAACAGCTTCAGTAACAAGTGCTTTGTCCTCCCCTGTCCTCGGGGCCACAGCACCGCCTGAGCACCGCCCAGATTCATCCGCCAGAGGGCGCGCTTTTACGGCGGGAACCGGGAAAGCGTTTCACTACAATGAATCAATAATAACATCATCAATCATCAATATGATTACCAAAGGTTAACAGGTCATAATCCTTCCTAACGAAGCAACTTAGCGAATATTTGCTTTAATCAGTGATGGAATGCAATGTTCTACTTTTACTTGACTGCTGCAAATGTGTAATTCTAACTCTGCAACATGTATCCGACTACTTTAGTTATTAGTCTTTATAAATAACACGGTTATTCTATATTGACAAAGAAGATAACAGTGCTAAAATCTGTTTTTTTAAATAAATTAAATTACCTTACAGTTCAAAAAGTCTTGTTGAATCGTAAAGTCAAATGACTTTCTCAAAATGTTGTACAAGCATTGAGAAGCTGTGAATTCAGGCAATTGTTTGACTCACTATTGCAGTTATACGATACACCGTGAAGTGAAAACAGGACTCAAAAATGAGGGTTGAAAGAGTTGATTTTCCCATTTCTATTAAAGGAAGAATAAATATTACAGAAGTGGGTGACTGAATTATGGGGTTTTGAGATCCTTAAACATTTCAATTAGTGATCAGTTGGCTACTAAATATTTTGGGCCAAATTGTGGTCTGTGTCCAGTGTTTTTCATGAGACGACAAAGACAAACAATATGCAGCGGGAATGCACAAAAAATGTATAATAACAACTAAAGTAGACTGTAGACATAAACACTTGTCTACAGTCTCTCTCTCTCATACAGAGGAGTCAGGTTCACTTAGTTTGGATCGGTGCCACAATTGCTGCCAGGTCAACAAATGGCTTCATTCGCAGTAACAAATGATAATGTCCCGTGTGTATCCATACGAAATGTCTGTAAAAAAATGAACTAACTTAGACTTCTAAATATCTATACATCAGATACTTTTACATCTAGGAGTGCAACTGATGTACTTATGAGTCAATGATCTTATTGCTTTCTTTCTCACATTTGAATCTATTAAGGATCCTTTTGAAGGGACACGTCCTGTCATGGCACATGTGATTTATTGACGTGTCCGTATATGTCCTACAGGGAAAGCAGTGTGGTGACTCATACACTAGGTGGTAGTATGGCTTCATCCTCTGCAACACTCCCCTTTGCTTTTCATAAAAAAAACCTCAAACAATCAAAGTAGATAGCGTTTAATGTTTGTCAGATATTTTAAAAGTTAGTGAGAAAGGCCTCTGTGCAGCCATGTGGGTCTTTTCACAACTTAAGCTGAGAAAAAGAGACTACTTAATTCCTTTTGTAGAAAAATAAATATCTACATATACATAAGTTAAAGGATACAGCTGGTGTTACTCTGTACGTTTCTCTCATATCTCTCAATACCTACAGATTTCCAATCTTCTTTTCACTTTTCTGGGGAATAATCTGTAGTTTCACTAAACTGTTTCTGCAAAGCCACCCTTTGACAGCATGAGCTGTGTAAGTATTAAAAACTGAATCATTAACAAGTTGTGTCACTCTGTGTCCTTGCCGCTCTCTCTGGTTTTTCTGCTAGTCGGCCTGTATTTCTTAGGTGCAGCCATCCCGTCTTTGCAACTTCTTTGCATTTGCATTTGTTACAGTTCTGTTTGATATTGTTTTACCGTGTGTGCGTGTGTGTGTGTGTGTGTGTGCCTGTGAGTTTGCAATGAAGCTGCACCCCATCAGTAGCTCCACAGGGAACCACTGTTTTACAGCGTTATTTATTTGTGAAAAAGACACAAGACATTTAATCCGGTATTTTCAATCCTCTCTTTTGACACAGTGTGAGTGAAGAAAGACAGAACACTACAAAACCTCCTATTTACCTTCACAGCTGACTACTAACGTGGCACGTGACCAAACAGACTTACCTATCATACTTTAGATCTTCAGTTGTCCTGTGACTGGATGCTGATTCTAACGTGACATTTAAAGCAAAAGGGCAGCTTCCTATTTCCCTCTTTTGATGACATTTATCTTGACCTTTGTCTTGCACATTAACCATTAAGAGAAACTCACTTACTTTTGAAGTGAATTGCGAATGTTATTGCTTGTTCCCTGTGATGACCATTCAGTCCTACTGGAGAGCTTCTAAACAAATCAGAAAGACACTCAAATGATTTTAACAGAAGTGTGGACTTTCTGCTTGAACTCCTTCACTGAATCACAGGAGAAGGCAATGCATGCTGGGATCCGCGGATTCATGTCCGTGGATCAAACTGACGTAGAATATCAGGAAAAAACAAAGCTCCAGCACCCGAAACAATGAGGGCCGGAGTCTACGAACAAAGAAAGCGGGATTAAGTGCGAATAGGGATTGTGTGTTGTGTCTCCGTACCCTGAACAGCAGTTCGTCCTCCCTGACATTGTGCCACAGAGTAAACCGCGATGCTGCTTACAGGAGGAGCAATATAACTTGTTTTTTACAGCTTTAACCAAACAATAAAGCTCATGTTTGCTTCTATATCTGAGCAGTTTGGGACAACATGCGGAAGCGAGTTGCTAGGTTACTACACACGGTACTTCTTTTATTTCTACGAGGAATTTGGCTGCTATTTCTGCCTCATTGTTTCTCTTCCACCACAATGAAAACATGCTGTGGCATGAGTCTGCGATTAGCTCGGACGGAGCATTACAGGAACTTCAGACGACTTTTTCAATGTGGGACTTGTTTGTGAGGAAACAAGAGAGACTAGGAAGGAAGCTGGATGGATGAAGAGAAGGAAAACAATGAAAGATCAGATCCCAACGAATCATGTTTTCATATTCAGACAATGTCAAATATTCGCGTCTGAAAGCTGTGAACCCATGAGGACTTTCACAACTTGTTACTGAACAGATAATTAACTATTTACTCCTGATACTTTTGCTCCCGACGGCCCAAATCTCCACTGTAAAGTGCTGCCTCAATAACCTGCTCATGAGCACCGGGAAGAGTTTTGTTAGGAATATTACAGTTCTACATCAAGTTGGACCATGTTCCACTGCCAAATCATCAACTACGATTGAGATGACTGAATGGAAATGTGCGCCTGCAACTGAGGCGCCACCTCGCTGCTGCTGCTGGACGCGAGGATGAGGGAGACGTGTGACACCTCAGCATCTGGCCAGCACAGCTGGAAGATGATCGCAAGGTGCAGTGAACCACCTGAACCCACTGAGGAGTGTCAATGGTTATTATGTTGACTTTGCATTGCCAAGTGAAGCATTCTGCACATTACATCTGAAATCTCATTTACTGAGGTAGATACTGTGCTGGTGGTGCTTTGTTTTATCGCCTAAGCTACTTCACTTGAATAAGCTATTTCCATCTAATTAAATTAGAGGAAGACAAATTAGCTCTAGTATGTTTAATTAATAGCTGCTGATATAAATAAATAACATATGATGAATTGTTATGGATTAAATGTACCAACAGTAAAACAGTAGAACGTCCCTCAGCTTTATTAAATGCTGCTTCACGTTGTTGAATCAATAATTAAATACTTATATAATGTAACTAAGTATATTTATACAAATTAAGACTACCATCTCTGAAATTGTACTTCAACTGAGTATTTCCATTTTATGCTTCTTTATAGTTCTTCTCCATCACACTTTGGAAGCAAATATTGTGAATTTTTTACTCCACTACATTTACTTGACAGCTTCGGCTATTTTGCAGATCTAAATTAATTAAAGTTATGATTCATTACCATCGATTGTGTGAGCCAGCGTTATGTAAAGTCATTTAAATGATCCCTAGTTACCGAAGAATATGACTTTGTTTGACTTTGAGGTTTAACTCCAATTTGACAGTCAAACGTGCCAACTAGTTTGAGCCGAGGAGGTAAAATGTTCCTTTCTGTACGTTTCTCTGGTACAAACCAAGTACAGGCTGCCCAGGTGATGAGTGAACCACACACAGATTATCCACCATTGATCCAACTCCTGTGATAAAACTTCCTTTATTCACAATTAGAGATCTGTCGTTGTCATATTTACAAATACATAATGCAAATAGATACACTAACAGACGTTGAGCAAAAACACAGTTCAACCTTGGTCTGAGCATCTCCAAAGAAAAAAAAAACAAAAAGAAGAAAAATCTCAATTATCAAATCATTTAATAAACGCAGTGTAATGGATTATGCCAAGCTGGGGTCAGCTGAGCCGGTTTAGCTTTCAGAGAATAATTTAATGCGCCAACAAAAGCATTTTCTGAGCTATCAGCGTCATGTGGAGTAACACCGGACTGCGTCGTCCTCCGAGCAACTGCATTCGTTTTGTAGAGTTATACAGCGATGCAATGTACACGCCTACGGTGCGGTATCAATTCGATGCTTGGAGGCTTTGAAACGCACAAGTTACAACAGGCCTACAGTTCCCACACACGGCTGGTTCCTCACACGATGTGCGACTCAAGCAAGAACCCATTAGATTTGTCCAACTTAAGCTTTGACAAAGACAAATATCCATCTCTCCTTCATACCCTGAAATCATTCGGGTCGCCTCCCTTGCTCCCCCATGCAGACGTTGAATCTGAAATTAAAAATAGCATCTCCACTGGCCTCTGATGTATTTGTATTCAATCCATCAATTTGGATTTAAACATTTGCAATGTATTATTTAATTGCCCTTTTGTAATATTTTTGCAAAAAAACGACCAAACCTTTTAATTTTTGACACACGTTGTGTGGTCGTGTTCATCATTCTCATCACACAGTGGTGATGTTTGCTGCTCAGTCAGTGATCTAAAGTCAGACTAGAAGGGATCATAATAATGAAGCTCAAGTGGTGTTTCTTTAATGGGAAACTACACTGCTTTCACACATGACGTTTAGTTCTGTGTTCTTCAATAAGCCCAACTGAAGATGTGATCCTTCTGGGCATGCGCACAACTTCTAGCGGGACGCCTGCATTACAAACTGGGAAAGTGGCGTTTAAAGGAAGGTGGATTTTGGAGGCAGGAAATAACCAAGGGAAGACACCCCATTTGCATTATGGGAAATGTAGAATCCAGTAGTTAGTGGAATTGGAAACAGAGTCGATACCTTGAATACTGCTGCTTCAATTTAGACCACTTTTTTATTTTAATGCCCCTTGTGAGTCAGCCACTTAAAGCAAGCGTAACGGGAAGTGTGGCCGCGGTGCTCCTTTAAATAACGGAGGGCCATACAAGTTGTTATCTTTGATGAGCTTAAAACGTTTGGAGAAATTTGAACACAAACAGAGCATCAAGCCACACATACATCTTTCATCTTGGCCAGGAAACAATGAGCACACATAAAACAAACAATCAAAGAGAAGAATTAAACTACAGCTGCAACGATTATAGTCAATCAAGATTATTAATCAGCAGCTATTCCATAAATCAATTCATTATTTCTCATTTTTTTAAGTAAAAATGAGAAACATTGATGGTTCTGAGCTTTCAAAATGTGAACTGTCTCACATTATAATTCATTTAATATTTTAGTGTTTGGACAGTTATTTGGAGAACACAAGACGTATAACTACGTGGGGCCCAGGGTGACATGGTCAGTTCTTTGCAGTTTTCAAGGCCAAATGGTTATTCAAGAAAATAGTACACAGATTAATTGATCATTAGTTGCAGCCCTACATGAAACTACAGTTGTTAGCAGCAGCGAGGAAGTAAAAAAGGGGCAAACAGGTTTTCCAGGTGAGTACACTGACATTTTGGAGGGCTCCTGCAGCCCGTTACCTCCATAGACATGATGTACCTCATGGAAAGTAAACCTCATTGAGCGTCACTGGGTTGTCTGTGATACCACCTCCGCCACACAGACACACACACACACACACACACACACCTCTCCAAACCAAACAACACCTCTGTACATGTGTGTTGATTGTCACAGCAGATGAAGGGAAGGGATGTACACTGCTCATGTGTGATGTGAACATTCATTAAACACATTCCCTTACACACACACACACACACACACACACACACACACACACACACACACACACACAGAGACAGACAGACAGACAGACAGAATAATCCAGTGGGTATTTGGGACAGATTAGATAAAATGCCACTTGAGCTTTAAAACTTGTACTTAGAAAAGGCACGAATTATGATTTCCTGGTAAATTATTTTGATATGCAAAGTAAAAATGAAAAGACGTGTCTTGTTTTTCTTTACGTAAATTGACAGCATTTTTTGGCCATAACTCACATATAAGCGTTGTGAAGGACTCTTCCCAAGTCAGTCTTTATTAAGTTATTTCCTTAATTTCACACCTAATGTTTTCCAATGTTATTGTTTTCTCTATTTTTTTTCTCCAAAAGTGCAATAATAATAATAACAAGAGAGCTTAATTTCTCCCAATCTTCCACAGTACCTGAGGCCAGTGACTGTGCTACAAATTCCACATTGACAAACAAAAAGAAAGCCAGAGTGAGCAGAATAATTCCAGAACGCTAAAACATAAAAATACATTTTCAATGCAGGGCGTTGATTTCAAAAACTGAGGATTCAATTACAAAAAAAACAACATAAAAATCCTCCAAATTCTGTTTTATAGATAAATTGCTTCCTGTGTCACTCAAATTTCACATCAGCATCAGTTTACCTTGATCCCAAAAACACACACCAAAGAAAGAAAACGACAAAAAAAGGAAAATAAATCCTACAGAGCAAGTTTCTTTCACTTGAACCACTCCAATGGTTCCCCCTGATCAACAGCTGACACGTGGAATCTAGAATACGCGGCGTCTCAACCAGTATCTTTTTTTCCTATTCACGCCACCTGATTCGAGTTTCATTGTTACAGCTTTTTTTAACTTTTTCCCCACTCCACCCCGTTGTAATGCAGATACGTTTATTTTTCGTTGATAAAGGAATCAAGAGTCTGTTGTGGAGTCAGTAGAACTGCAACATTCCTTTCACTCGCCAGTGGCCGGGGAGCACTGGGAGCGAGAAAGAGAGCGCGAGGGGGGTGAGGTACAGAGTGACAGTGGGAATTAGAGGAGGGATAAAGAGGTGAGGGGGAAACTGGAAAGAGATAAGGGACAGTGGGTCTGTGTAGTTGCTTCCGTTTAAAACTCGACAATGTTTCAAGTTCTCTCCACTCTCTTCTATCACTTGTGCCTCTGGAGGGCTTTCCTCTTTCTCCGTTTGAAGAAACAACAGCACCTGCAGAAAAAACAAAGCAACATCAAGAATTTAGAAAAATAGTGCATTTGGAGACCCGTCAACAAGCGAGCTATTGATACATCAATACAAAATTAACAATAACCAATGCATATTGGTTCAGTGAGATATCAAACAAAGAATTCACATTGGCTTATATTGTCCCTTGAGTTGTGATATTGGGCTGTTCACAATAAAATGCTACTATCCCCAGCCCAGCACTGTCTTTTAGGCTTCTGGGAAGCGGTTTCATACTTGGTTTCGTCAGCCACTTCGACCTCGGTGGGAGCGGTGATGGGAGCGTTGGAGTGTCCGGCTGTGGGATCATCAGTGTTCAGCTCGCCGTTCGTTGAGCTCATCACCTACACGAGTAGTGGAAGAACACCGGACTGCTCATAAACACATTCATTTGTGACTGCAGGGCGGAGATGAACATTCATATGAAAATATGTAAACTTAATTATCTGCAATGATTTGCCCTCTCAGATAAGGTGAGTAGTTCAGCAGGTAATCTGGAATGCCCCAACTAAAACTTCAGAAAGGATTGATTCACATTCAAAAACAGTGATACAGTTTGATTTAGTTACAGTAGTTAATGAAGCTCCTCCTTAGCGCGAGAAACTGTCTACGGAAAAGTGAAACCGGTAATCTCATGTTAAAAAGATCCAACAAAATGAGGCGGATGAAACATTTGAGCAGATCATGGATTATTCTTATTTTCCCTCCCCCTCTTTTAGCATCAGAAGAGGAAAATAAATTCTCTTTCAATGTACATACGGGCAATCGAATACTGTTTGACAATTGACTTGAAAAATGTGACGGCATCCTTTAAATGCTGCAATTGTATTAGCCAACACTAGGTGTTGCATTTGAGCCACATCTCTGTTCTTTTGTTGACTTAAGAATCCTTATTTCATGAGAGTGTGCGATCACAGTTGCTGTTGGATATAATGGCCCTTCCTGGAGACTGAATAGCCACCACTGAGGTGAAGGAAGCAGTGGAGCAGCAAAACCAGGGAAAGCACTGCCACACTGGGATCCCAACAGTGATGCAGACACACAGAGAGAGAGACAGACCCCACTTGAGAGACAGACCGACAGAGACAGAGAGAGGGAGAGAGCACCTGACAGGCAGGCAGTGTGGAGGCAGTGTGAGAGGGGACACACACACAGAACTACATGGCTTCATGCATTAACCACCAGAGCAGCAGCAGCAGCAGCAGTACCTGAACAGAGCCCCCCAGCCGCTCAGCTGTGAGGTGCGACCCCAGAGTCTCCTTATTGGTCACTGGAGTGGGCTGAGACTCACTTCCTTTGGGCTCAGGCGACTTGACGCAAAGAGCAAAAAGGGTTGAGGCAGATGGTCGTGAAGTGATGAAAGGGAGGGGGGGTGAAGGATTGTACGGGTGAGGGGGAGGCAATGTGGTGGGACGGGGTGAGGGTAGAGGTGTGGTGGAAAGAGGAACAAGGAGGAGGGGAGTGAATGAAAACAAATACAAAAAAAATAAATTATAGAAGACACCTCACAAGCAGGAGCAGGCTTGTTAAGACAAACTATGTTAATAGAGTGGAGGGAGCAAATATTTATGCCAAGCACAGATCAACTCACCAATAAAGTCATGCAGGAGTAAAAGAAAACAGCCTTGATCACCTCAACTTGCTACAAATAACAGTCAATTGTCTGGTATTGTATATCTGGATAAGGGCATTACTTAAACCTCAACCTTTTGACAACACTGACAGTCATTAACAACGAGAATGCGACTGGTGGTTTTGCTTTGAAAGCTTTAAAATGGTGGAAAGTTGTTGCCAAGCCAATTACAATGGAGAACAATGAAAAGTGGTTAGAGTCCAGTGAAATAAGTCAATCGTAAAATCAAAATCACCCCCCTCCTGGTTTTAAGGGGAAACAGAGTCAGACTCCTCAAGCAAAATAAGAAGATTTTTACCATGATATGAGTTCATAGGAAGGATTTTGCAACTATTTTCTACTTGAGCTCTTGATTTATTGTCCGTCTACTGAACAAACAAAGAAAACAAGGCTTGGATTGCATGCCGAAATAACAAATAAATACTAAGTCAACACTTTGTCAAACACTAAGCATAAAGCTCGTCATTACTCGTATGAACAATGCAATTTTTGCATTTTCAACTCATGCATGCAATGACTGGAGCTTAGAGTGGCAACGTGTCAAGAATAAAGCCAAAAACGATGCTTTATTTTACAGCAGTATGACATCCTGCCTCATGATTGTGCAATATTCGGCTCATTTCTTGGTAAGGCACACATTTTGTACAAGTCTAATTCTCCAACAGTGACCTTGAGGACATGTGATGTCACTGCCAGTCATACTGTTGACAGTAACAGGAATGAAGCAGGGGTGGAACTGAAAAGAAGCCATTTCCTCCAGGGAGTGCATGTGCACACGATAATAGAAGCTCAGCGGTAGAACTCGAATGACAGGGTCGGTCGGTCGGTCGGTCATTCGGTTGGTAGATTGGCGGTTGGGTGTTGTTTTTGTTGTGTTTTTACTGCTGTCCTCACCTGGTTTTTGGTCTGCTGTTGTGCCTTGTCTCTACTGCTGGGTGGCAGGGGCGTGTCACTGGGGATGGGGCCTATCGGTGTCGGCTGCAGGTATCAACAAAACAAGTATACAGTCAAAACAAAGACAATTTGAAGGTAAAAAGAGTAAAACTTCACAGTGGAATTCAGGGAAACCTGAAAGTATTCAGCACCCATAGTTTGAGCAACACTAGATCAATAGGTTTGAACTGGTGCCGTGATACTCAAGGGTTCAATCCCAGGATTTAAGAGGGAAAGTAGCGGGGGGGTGAGTGGATCGGGTAAGAGGCACTCACAAGTGACTTGCCAACCCAGTCATATTCGTAGTCGAAGACATAGCTGTTCCTGTCAAAGAGATCGGTGAAGAGTTTCCTCAGGTAGTCATAGTCAGGTTTCTCAAAGAAGTCCAGCCTCCTCACATAGCGCAAATAGGTTGCCATCTCTTCTGCAGCAAAGGAGAAAATGTTGTTTCATTGGAAGTCTGATTGAACCAGGATAAAATGAAATAACACAGTAAAGGGTGGCTGGGTGAACTGACCTGGGAAGCTTTCACAAAGCACTTCAATGGGCGTCGCTCGTTTGGTGTCTCCAATTTTCTGATACCTCTCTTTCAAAGTATCTGCCTAAAAAGGGAACAGGAAAAACCACACCTCACACTTAAAACTTGAGACGTATTATTACATCCCCAAATGTAAATATATACAATATTGATCAAAATCGCAAATGAAGTCTCCTTGGTTACACATGATTCCCACCATAGGATAATTCTTATCTGCTACAACATTGCGTCCATGCATAGTTATTTAAATACTTCGACCATTTGAGAAGTGAAATGTTGGCCCTTCACACGCTGGCCTGACATTTTGCTATGAACTATGAATGCAAGGTTCTCACACTTAATCTAGTGTTGTTGCCTGGAAAAAAAACGTCCAATCATAAGGAGCCCAGTGATGATAATTCTTCATCCACAGTTTCACACATAGGTGACCCTGAATTAAAAACTGTCCCTTTACTCCTCCACTGTATTTAAATGCCAACTGCCATTTTGCGTGTTGGTTCCAACATCCCCCACAATAATACATCCCTCACATTCATCTACCACAAGCTTCCTCCCACATAGCAAATGTTCAGAAGAGGTGTTGTGTCTTCTACTCTTTTCTATGCACACCTTTGATTTTGACGCCTGCAAAAATCCCAGAAACTCTGTAACTATAGCCTGCCCTCTTTGCACCGGTAATCAGGCCTTTGCTTCCCAATGCTTTAAATTGTTAATGACCAAGCTGTTCAAATGCAAAGCAAGTGTAGAGCAGTCTGCTATTTTTTTTAATCAAATGCTGTAAGATTTGAGCACTTATGCTTGAACCTATCGTGAAAACAAAGACAAGTGGTGTGTTGTCTATTTACAATCAGAAGTTGATGGCATATTACTTAATAATAGTAGGGAATATTAGTTATTATTTAGGATGTCAGAGCAGATAAATCAGTAAAATGTCTCTTTACCAGCTGTGTCCTATGCAAAAACAAGCTGTTCTTTTTTCAGTTTGAGCTCTATGGGAGGACATTATATTTAAATAGATAATAGATAGAAAGAAAAGAACAACATGCTGAAAATATATGGATTTGATGACACTTGTGGTTATGCTGTAAGTATGATAAGACTAACAGCATAACCACAAGTGTCACTATGTTGGGTGTTTAATCAAAGAATAACCGACTTGGGACAGAGAACACCACTTTGCATCATGTTGTCTTTGTCTTTTACACCCGAGTGCCTTATCATTGTGCATTAGGCCGCCACAAATGTTAAACAACAGCGAAAGAAAGAATCACAAAGGTTTCAATAGTTCCAGTGTCATGTGACACACAGGGTCTTTAAGGTGCCATAAACAATACAGATACATCAGTGGGGAGAGATTGAAATGTCCCCAGTGTGAACGCATGATGAACAGGCTCTCTGTTCCTACGGTCATGTGGATGCTAAGTATGAAAGAAGTACTATAAGGATTACAGGAGTCTATGTAAGTAGTGCGTTTGGTTAATGTCAAACAATACGCTACAGTACCTTTAGGCCCTGCCAGGGGAGGCTACCTCGGAGAAAGTACATGAACATGTGACCCAGTGCCTCCAGGTCATCCCTTCTGCTTTGCTCTGAAAGAGACAGACGAAGATAAAAAATAAGGTTACCCGTTGAAAAATACATTCATTTTATGCCTGGCTGGAAATGAGCAGTAGAAAATACAAGATAATAATGGTCCAGGAACCAAACAAAGAGTTAACGTAACATGCACGCAGTTGAATTTCAGTCAATGGTTGGCTATCACGGCCATTGCCATGTATTTGTAGCCTATATAAATAGGGCTGTTAATAGATTAAACAAAATTAACTAATTCATCTCCCATTGTGAAATCGAGATTAAAAGTAATGAGTAATCACCTTAAAAAGTGTGTATTTTAAACACAAAACTACACACATTTGACTACCTTGGACTACCCTGTTGAACTAGTGACTCTTCCTGCTGTCCTCGTGCAGTTTGCTCTCAACTCTCCATCATTCGACGGCTGTGTTTGAAGTGCTCCCGACATTTAGCCACGACGTTTCCAATCCACTGTCTTTTTGTTGACACAGTGGTGGTCCTCGGCAAGGTCATGTTGAGATGGAAGTAGCTTAGCAGCTAGCTTAGCCTAATAGTCTGTAAAGTGGTCCGTTTGCCACTCATCCCTCTTCTGTTTGACACGTGGAGGAATGCCTCAGCACATTTCTCTGCTGTATATTGAGACTCTTTTACTTCCAATGCAAAAAACTCTCTCAGTCTTCAACGACCGTCTCAGTCTCTCCTCTCTAAGTGACAGCAGCAGCGCTGTTTTTTTTGCCGGGGTCGACTTTGTTTACTTCCGACACGCAAACAAAGTTGGTTTAACGCCGTTAAAATATTTTAGCTCCTTAATCTCGGCCACATTCCCTGCATAGATTAACGCGTTAATGTGACAGCCCTAGTTTAAAACGTTAAAGTCAATGTAAATCCGGAGGGGTTACCAAACCATAGCCCTGCACCAGACACTTTCTTACCCTTTCCCAGGTGTGTGTTGATGCTCATGTAGCGGGCCGTCCCAGTCAGACTCTTGTGCTCCCGGTAGGGGATGTGTTTTTTGGTCTCGGGGTCTATGTACTCTTTGGCCAGACCAAAGTCAATGATGTGGATTGTGTGCTGCCTCTTGCTTCCCGGCCGCCCGACCAGGAAGTTTTCTGGCTTCACATCTCTGTATATCAGGCTCTTGTTGTGGACATACTCCATCCGTGTTATCTGGCCGAGCAATAAACAATATGAAGTCAATTTGAATCAATGAAAATGTAAAGCTACTCAATTATCCTGACATTTCAAACCGAGTATTAAGTATGCAATCGCTAAAAACTTCACTTGAGGCTACACAGAAGACACCAAAATACCACAATACTTTGCATAGCTCCTTTTAGCATTCCCTCCACTATACGTTTGTAATGTAGTCAAAGTTGCACTTTTCTTTCTGTTTGGCTTGAAATCCCAAAAGCTAACTCATTGCATTTAAACCACACCTGCTGCACTTACCAGCTGTATGGCTATCATGAGGACGGTCTTGAGGGAAAAGGTGCGATCACACAGGTCAAAGAGATCCTCTAGACTGGGCCCCAGCAGCTCCAGCACCATGGCGTTGTACTTCCCGCACGGACCAAAGTAGTACACCTGAGGGATTCCCTCTGTTGAGAAATGAAACAGAGTAAGTGAACTTGTGTAAAATGTTGGCCTGGTAATTATAGAACAGCATATTCTCTTTAATCGCTGCTTTTACTCTTCTTTGAGAGTATATCTTTTGCTCCTTCAGAGATAAAAGTGCAGACTGCAAATGAAATAATATTATTTGTTTTATTTAAACAACCAAAGTTTATGTACAACACTGCAATGTTTTACTGGAGTATTGAAGTGGAAAATGGATGAACATATGAGCGTTTTCACAACATGACAAAACCCAGCAGTATGTCCTTTTGTAGGAAAAATAATAACCATATTTCCAATTGTGCAAAATTATCCAATTCCAATTCCAATTCCAACTAGGTGACACACGTGGTACTAAAAACCACCAAAAAACAAGCAGACGCACATTGGCCAAAAGCTGTTGCTTCATAACGATGCTGGCTAACAGCTCTTTCAAAACAAAGTGAACTGCTGAGGCCTGTGAGGAACCAGCATCATATTTCACAAGCAACTGTTACAACAGTTCACCGGAAATAAAAACTCATTACCTGGAATATCAATCAGCTCTCTGGTGTTGACATTTCAGAAACACTTTATAATTCATGGACATTGACCTCTAATCCCCAGTCAGAAAGATTATTCGGTGACACTTCACCCACGATCAAAACCACCAGTCTCCAGGTTCATGGTCCTCGCTACCAGGTTAGTCAGTCAACTTCATTCTGTCACCAGGAAGCCATCGGGAAAAAACCTTTGAACCATGAAACCTGAACCTGGAAGCTCAGTAATCATGATACATCACATCGCTGCTGCTCCGACAGCAGACACAGACAGATAAAGAGAACCAATCAGATTAAGATATGGATTAAAACGGGGGACAGGGATTGAGAGACTGGCCAAGCACGTCTTTACTGTACTCGTCTGTAAGGAAAAAAGGTTGTGTGTTTGTTGCGAGCCACAGAGTTTACAAGTCGGGTTTTCCTGATTTACAGTTCATCGGGGAAACAAGACATACAAGGAAATAAACTGACACACATATTCTCATGCGCATAAGCGCATACTACAAGCACGCACACACACACACACACACCTGTCACGCCCTTTAGTCTTTAGGATTTCCAAGGTAATAAAGCCAGTGACGGATGAGGTTGTGACACAACATCCCTGGAAGGGTTGACTCATCAAAACTTGGTCCAAATCTAGAGGGCATTCAAAACACAGTCATCCCAGGAGGAAAGAGCACACAGTGTGTGATAATCTAACGCTGGTGGATTTAAGCAAAGGGCCATGTTTTACAGCAGTTCTAAGCACCAATCTAGTAATGGCAAAGATGACAACATTAAAACTGTTTTTTTTTAAAAGAGGAAATGACTCTTCCTCAACGGGAACTTGTGAGCACTTCCAATGCTCCAGAATGACAAAGCAACCCTGCCAACCATCATCCTGATCAGGCAAGCCTTTCTTTTCTTCAGTAGGTTAAAGCCAAACAAACAGCAGTCGGCTGCTCTCAAATATAGACAAGAAGTAAACAGACTTGGTTCTGTGATTCTATTACATAATAGAAGGCATTATCCCCGCTGAAGGCAATGTTTTCCTACAAAGAATCGTCGGTTATTGGCCAAAGAGGAGAAGGCTGGAGGCGAGAGGAGGACAGGGCAGCGAATGTGTATCAAAGAGTCAAGAGTTTGGATTTTTCTTGGAGTGCAGAGAAGAGAAGGACAATAAGTGATTTTCATTTGGCTAACACATTCATTGACTTTTTATTAGTACAAATGTTCCAAATGGCATGAATATGAATCCATGATTTAATAACTGCACAAGCTCTCTGCAGCCATTTGCCTGACAACAGTGCTAAAGTGACGGATGCCACAAACTCTTACGCTCACTAACGCAAGACTTGCTTACCATCACTATCACAGTTTTGCAGCCATTACTATCAACAGCATCTTACTCTTTTTACCAAAGATGTGTGGGCTGTGATGTGCACCTCCCAACTAGTGGGATGTGTTCAGGACAGAAGAGAATTAAGACTGCGCAGATAAGCTCCTCTTGGGCGTTAAGTGCTGAGTCGTCCATGCTGTGACATATTTCAGGCTCTTGGCTTGAGCAGGACGAACGGGGTCACATGTCCCCATTTAGCAAAGTTTACAACATAAGTAGATCTAATCTTTGGCCTCGACTCCTCCCATGCTAAAGAGCCATGTGTGCCTTTCTGTCATGTCATTGCGAATCAGCAGGTCATCAGCTGGGACGCTGTGGTCAAATTATAGATATATTTTGAGATCTTTCTCCCCTGAATCTATTACTAATCTCTATTTATTTTATCTTTTTATATTGCGCGCAAATTTTTGCTTTTGTTAATAAAATGAAAAGATGTACTAAATAGATTAACGAAACAACTAGTGAACATCCAACTCCATAACACAGCAACTACTATCACCCCACCCTGTACAAGCACAAAGTCACCACGCTCGAGTGAATCATATTCCTGATATCACAATGTGGGCCGATGTTTGGAGCGAATGAAGAACCCAGACATTAGTCCGTATCAGAAGTTCATACTGTCCTCTGCCCTGCTCACCCTGCTGAATCTAGGGGTGCCCGCTCTGTCCCGGCTAGCGAGCTACTTTACAACCGAACAAGTTACAAGCAATCTACGCTGCGGTCTTATATTTATGTTGGGCATCCTCCTTCCGAGTGTGTTAGCAGTAGCTGCACAAAGTATATAAAACAAAGCACAGTCACAGTTTTTCCTCTGAAGCCTGGCTACTGGTTGCACTGGCATCAGGGAGCAGAGAATGAAGTTGGACATGAAAGAGATTGGTTCTTCTGGAGTGGGAGTGAACACCACAAATGAGCAGCAACTGTTCTATATTAGGAGCGTAAAAAGTTATTTAGGGCCTACCAACAGTGCGGTTAATCACAAAAAACAGGGTTGTTGCAGACATTGAAACTCTCAATGATGGCAGAGCCGCTTGCACAGCTACAAGAGCCTCTCAAAACGAGCATGAACACGCTTCTAGCCGTTGTCAAGGCTCAACTAGATCCCCTCGCTTTCCCACAGAGAAACGAAAAGTCTGACAGTAGCTTCTCATGGCTGGTTAGCTCTGACTAGCGGCTCGGCATCTCTGTCCATGCTACACTGAGCAGTGGTCAGTCAGTCTCTGCATCCCCATTTGCTTCCTACACTCACTGCTCCTCAGATCTTTATTGCATTTTTTTTTATATTGGGAGAGAGGTTCAAGCCGAATCTGAAGGCGTACTCACCTTTTAATAGACTTCTTTTGGCTAAATTATTAAATAAAATATCAATTAGGAATTGATATCTCAACTGCATTTGGTAAATTGACTTTATCTGGGAGAAGAGACAAAACAAGTCCCGATTGGACGTGTGGCTGGTTGCAGAGTGGGAAATGGCACAAACCTAAATGACCTTTTCCTGTCATCAGTTTCACTCCGTAATGGGGAAATGTTTCCATGTGTCGTCTGGATTAGAGACTGAGCATGAGAGTTGAGAGCCAACCATATGAACACTCGCGATAACAGAAACATGGTAAGTGAGCCTTTCCGAAAACAGGCAGCCACGTAGTGCTGTGAAAGAAAATAAAGTCCAGAACCCTTCTGACTCTCGTCTTCTCCCCCTCCCTCTGAAACGCTGTGACCAGCCAGACCAGATGAAAAGAGCTGCTGCCCTTGAGCCACGGCTGTGCATCATAGCACAGTAAACTGTTTGGAGCAGTGCTGTAGGAGGGGAACAGTCAACGTGGGTTGATGTGGGAAGACAAATTACTTGAAATTTGGCCCAAAGTACAATGGGAGCCGTTGGTGTTGTTTTCATGCATCCGTTTCCACAATGGTACATATACACATTTGAAAATGCATAATGCACCATGCACGCAAATTCCATTTGAGAAATTTTACAAAACAGATACTGAATCTGAAAACAGAGGTATCACATTGCAAAGCAAAGGAAATCTGAGCTTTTTTTAACTGAACACAATCGATGCTAATTATAAAACTTCAGAGGAAGACAAATCATGTTTGCCATGGTAGAAAATCAGGAGCATTTTTTCCAAAATACAAGGCATGTTTTACATTAGAGCAAACTAAATAACAGAGGCAAGAAGAAATCCACTCAGTTGAGTACAATCAACATATGTAGCACCAAATTTGAGTGTGAACATTAAGAATTAAATCTTTGTCTTCTTCTGTTGCTCGCTTCCATTGCTAGCTAATTTAACTATATAACAACAACAATAATTACGTAAACAATCCAGATACAAGTGTTCTCTTCCTGCCCAATCTCATCTGAAAAGGCCCATTCACATTTAACTCTTTATTAAGGGGTTCTTACCTGAGGTCCCCAACTGTTTGTAAAATCTATATTCCAAATGGAGCTGCGGTGCTCTGGACTTTATAGGTTCCTGAAAGAGAAGAGAGGAGGAAAAAAGAAAGAAAGATTATTAAATAGAACGTTGACCACAAATCGCCAATTGTCAATATTCTTCTTTCTGTGTTGGTTGGTTGGCTTTGAGCAAAACAGACAACTGTATTTTTTCTTTTTTTCAAGAAGCGAATATATAAAGTAATTTTTAAACACCCATCTTTGCATGACCGTCACAGTCGAGGGGAATTATAGACTCACTAAAATTCCACAAAAGCAGCAGAAGGTAGTTTGTGAGCGGCAACCTCGCATGCACGTTATCAGGATAATCTTGGCCAGCAATTGACTTATAAATGACAGTGGTCCAATGTTGCCATTTATTCTGTGCCTAATATAACTTAAATTCAGTTTGAGGACGGATTGTGGGTAGGATGAGGATAAAGAGCATTTCCAGCTGCTGAACAGCAGGCTTTAGTGATGACACGGCAGATAATCAACCCACCGGGACACATTGTTCATTACATCGCCAGCTCCAGCTTTACAACCTAAAATGTAATCTGATTAACCCCACTCTTGTGATGACAAGGGCATTATAGACAAACGTGAGAAGGATAGAACAGACACACACCCAACTTAACTCCTTTCCTTAATCTTCAGTAGCTGTGCCGCAGACTGGACTAAAGCCCTTGTCTCCAATAGCAGCGTGCAGTCGCCCTTCTCACACACGGCCGACCAGCACAGGCTTCACACGAGTCCAAAGGTGTGCGTTTTGTTGTTGTTCAAATTGATAAGTAAGCTATAATATTGGAAACGATATTAAACAGCCATATCTAACATTACGCTCTATTACAAGACCTTTTTATTTTACACACACGTATAAAAAAAGGCCTTGGAATGTATTTAGCCTAACAGCTTCTCGATAGGTGCTTGAAGTAAGATTATATCTTCCCCATGTGTATTTAATTCCAAAGCACTTCAAATTATATAAACTAAAAGCTCAGCGCTATTAAGCTGCCACAGTCACTCCATTAGGCCTTTATTAAATCAGAAGCGTTTCTCTTCTAGTGCCCTCCTAACACGTAGGAGTGCACACACAAAGTATGAGCTGTATTGTTGAACACAATAGAGAACTTCTTCATCCCTTTGAAATAACGATTCTCTGTAGTCTGTGGCGTTACTTCAAGTTCATTCAAAAGATGCTTCAGGTAACAACCAACTTTACTATGTGCCAAAATATCCCCTAAAAGAGACATATATTATATGTATGTTATGTATAACTGAATTTGTTTTTCATTGGCTTTTTACAGAACAATAAGACCTGTGATTAATTACATTTTTGAATAAAACAACTGAAAAGTCTCTTTTTTCAACTTGTTGATTTATTTAAGTAGCTGTCATTTATTATGAGCGCTGCGCTCTGGATGCTATACAAAGATGTATTGGTGTTTTGAGGTGAAGGCAGAGAGAGCAGGAGCCCCACTGAGATTTCTATTTTAACACGTGGCTCTGTGTTTTGTGGGAGGGCCTGTGTCAATGTCATCAAACACCTGATTGGCTAACGTTAATGACCAGCTTTCTATGATCACAGGGAACATGCTGCGGCTAACAACAGAAATGCTTTTGATATTTTATCATTTCTAATATATTCAGGCCTACAAACTCGTAAGAGACCAGATGCTTTATCATGTTCCCACATGATGCTAAGAGGTACAAACTCAGAGATTACATAAATGTTTTTCCATTTTCTTTGGGAAAAACCAAGACTTCAAAATCCTGCTCTAGCAAGTGGCAGAAAAAGTAAGCAGCCTCTGTGCATAATGGAGGCTAGAAATTGAGAATGGAAGACAGGAGGCTATACACAGGAGCGGAGGCCTGTAGGAGGAAGACATGTGAGTGGGAGGCGGGGCGGGGAACTGCTGCAGCGTCATCCACCTCCCACATGAACATGGCCAATGAGCATGTCACCAGCAAGTCAGACCATGCCAATGAGTAGAGGAAAAGAAAATATATAAACATATAAATAATGAGTCAAAGCAGATGGCGCCAAACCACAGGGCCCTTTAAAACAGCTTACAATGGGAAACACGGGCTTATGGCAGCTTTACGTACTTAAGAATCATCTCCTTTCGTAGCAGATGGGCCAAGGACCGGGACCAAGCTGATGTCAAATCAAGGACAAGGATTTTTGACAGCCCCCGTTCATATCAAATCATCTTTGATCTGCTTTGTGTGCAGACATGTTCCAAGGACACGGCAGGCCAGCATCCACAGAAGCACTTGCACAGAAGGGAATCTAGTGGGTGTACCGATATACTGGTTTTAATTTGTTATGCAATTCATGTTTTTACCATATACCTCCACATTGAGGATTACTACGACCAGGGAGACCCTGCGAGTGGCGTTGAGAGGGGACATATTAATATTCGTGTTCCCTTTGACTCACAATGAATAGCCCACGACAAACTCTTTTGACGTGGTGAAACAACATGGCACACCAACATTTCTGACACGTAAGCAATTTGTAAAATTAGTAACTGTACATTCGAAAACGCGGTCGAATGGGATGTTGGGAAACTCTATAGCCGCTAGCTAGCCAGGAAATGCACTACAATAACTTGTGTTCAGGAGACGGGCGGTGTCTGTTGTCCTTTTCGGTCTTAAAAAGTTGGAACACAGTGTGATTACGGTCACTGAATTCAAGGCGGTCAGCAGCACCAGGGAAACAGCAACGCCGGAGAAAGGGTCAGACATCGCTCGACAGGAAAAGCAGGCGGTGCTGTTATGAAAGCAATAAATATCCATGCAAGGACATGGTCCTGCCATCCTGAGGACGGGATTAATGATTAAAAACACCACATTCAAGGTATGTCTGGCTGGGTCAAAAGTACTTCAGCAAAATTGCATTCTCAACAACGATTGTTACGCTCGCCCACTTTTCTACAACAACAGACCTGTGGTCAGTTTTACAACCATCTAAAAGAGAAAGAACAGAAAGCTATTGACATATCTCACAATGATATCAAAATCATTTATTTTACTACTTTAGAGTTTTGCACGCAAAGAAATATGTTAACATTGTGCAACTTAAATATTGGGAGTGCCAAGCAAACCCATAATAATTAAAGCTGTCAGAATATTAAGTCCATTAAAATGATTGCAAACACCTGAGTGTGCCACACACACACACAAAGGAATACAGTAATACACTCTGAAACCAGATCGAGATAAAGAATTGGTCATTCTGCCCGGAACTAATTACTACTGATAACTATTAAATTCATTTTGTTATCTTAAAAACTCCTGAATTTGGTATTTATTTAGTGCCGTGACATTTGCAGGGCAAAATAAAGTTCAAAAACAAGTAACTTGATTCCTTCTGTTATACTTAAATACAGTGTACGTTTTGGTAACGTTTTACACGCAGAAAGCCGCTTTTTGCCAATTGTGTTGGCCTGTGTCCGGGGCAGCTGACCCGCAGGCCACAAGGGTCCTTCCATGTCCAACCTGCTGCTACAGCGGCCTCTCCGCCTCAGCTGCTCCACAGGGTTTAACTGTGTGCGTCTTTCTGTGGATTTGGGAACAACGCATCAGCGCACAAAATTGTCTCTGCGTGTCAGTAGAAACAAAACATGTCTAACGAGCTTTGAGAGCCCACAAGATTTCATGACCACAATCATGGGCTCCAACGAAAATCACAAGGGCTGCATTTAGGTTGAGTCAAACCATTGGTCTGGACTTTAATACACATGCTGCGAGGGCTACAGGGATGTATCCCGATATGCTTTCTGGTGACCGCCCCGGATATCGTGGTGTATTCTGTTGCAATCGCGCCAGCTAGGTGTTTATTTTCTATGAAATAATTTGTGGCGGTTTGGCTGGTTTCAGCAGTGCAGTGGATATTTTGTTTTCTTCATAGATTATTTATGGGCTAGTAAAGACTAAAACAAAATTGTGACCAATATCTACCAAAAGCTACCAGAGCCCATGACAACATTTGTATATGTCCTTCCACAAGTCTAAAACCTAAAGACGATCACTTCACAATTATAAAAGGAAATCCTCACATTTTAGATGCCATAACTAAGGATTTATCTTGCAAGCCTGCATGATATAAATAGCTCAAAGTTAATACATTATCAATATTAGCTGTGCAACGGATCATAAAACTCACCAGTTCAAAGTATCAAAAGATAGGATCGGTACAAAATAGGTGTTTTGATTCTAGCAGCTGGTCTACAAGGTTTCAGACTATATTTTATTTTGCCACCATCCCACACATCAGTTTAACCGCTCTGAAGACAGTGTAAACAAACACAAATCAAATGTCATACTGTTATTTTAATGTGACCATTTACAGTGTTACACGCATCATAATGTAGCCAAAAAAGAACCTTTGTTCTTCACCGACTGGCACTATGAGAGAAAAGCATGAACGTAGATGTTCCGATGGCCATCTGCTGAATATTGGTGGGTGGTGATCATGAGTAAAACTTTATTACATATTTGATCAGTATCACACCCAAAAGGACATAATCTGATAAATCCCGTAGTCACGCACACTGAGACACTGTTAAATCAAACTTGAAAAGGAAGTCATCTTCTGTGCCTCCAACAGCTTGTTTCATTGCTGATTTGTTTGTCCAATTTTTGGAGTTATTACTGTTAATTTCCTTACAACCAAACCGATACAGCCATTCTTTATCCCCGCTCGTCTGCTGGCTCCTCCGTCAAATCCCAAACATGACTGCATAGACGATTGACATGAGCATATAAATAGTTACGTGATTTATACTGGCTGCTGCTGTTGATAACAGAGCTTGCACCAAACACTTCCCGAGTGGGATCAAATGATGTAATTACAACATTCTGAGGATGCGTGTGTTGCAAGCCATTTCAAGGACCTCTCAGAATAAAACACGTATTGCTTGCATAAACATATGATTATGTCATGACGGATTAGGTGGCGATTTCTGTATTCGAACGTGTGGTAGCCTCCGTAAACGTGTGGATGGAGCGAGCCATCCGCATCACACAAAGTCC